GAACCATTGAAGGTCATATTAGGGACAGAAGGATGAGAATGGTTACCAGGTTTTCTTCATCTGCAGCAGAAAGACACTGCACATTTGTCTTCTCCATCCTTCCCAGAATATACATTTCAAAAGCATGCTACTTCTACCAACACCAGCTCTTTCAATCAGAATATATGGTCTTCCTGGGAATTCAGAAAGCCTTTGCAGAACCCACAACTATGGGAGCAAGACTCCCTTGTCAGATGAGGCTACAGACTGCCTGAACAACACTCAACGGATGCCAGCATCTAATAGAAGCCTTATCCAGTATAAATAATTTCAGAGAAATGCTTTTGAGAACCTCGTATCCTAAATTTCAAAAAGGCACAATACAAAAAGATTCCACCTCCTTTTCACAAGACTTTCTGTAAGAGTCGTAGATCAAATATTATCTGAAGCAAGACAGGAAGGTCATCTTGGCCTCAGTCACAAGAACAGTAAAATGCAATGCTTCAATATGACCATTATTTATTTATTTATTTAACTTTCGGTTTATATACCGCTCAAACCCTTTTTTGCAAGGGTCTCTAATGTTTCCATACATTAGGAATGACATCCTCAAACATTTAATATGAACAGATCCTTCCTCTCTACTACTAGGTGACATTTAATAGCCCAGACTAGCTCAGTCTCTAGAGCTCGGAGGATAAGCAGGTCGGTATTCGCATGAGTGACCATCAATGAAAACGGGGGCTGCTATGCAGAGGAAGGCAATGGAAAAACACCTCATCTCTTGCCTTGAAAACCCCTTTAAGGTAGAACTTCAAGAGATCATCATTAGTTGGTTGTGACTTGATGGCACACTTTGCCTTTTAATTGCTCCATGTTTTGAAATGGGGGAGAAGGGGCCTGCCATGACCTGTTTCACATATGTCTGGGAGCAATACAGAACTCTGATCCACGACTAGTTAAGCAAAGAAACAGGCAAGAAGAAATATTAGCTGAATTCTGACAGGATAGGGCCATTTTTCTGTAGGAATCAATGTCTGTAGGCTAAACTACATGCATATTATTGCAATTATATTATATTTGTAAGGATGTCAACCTCACAGTCTTCAATCAAGCATCTAGAAGCACAGAGGTTTCCTAAAGTTTCAGATGCTTTACACAAATGTGATTTTTCACAGCCAGCCCAATATGAAACCAAGGGAATCAAGTTCTATGTGCTGTCTTGTAAATTAATGCTCCTGAGAGTTGTAACGAATACAGAGAACTCTCCTAAGAGCAAGAAAACACTGCACAAACAACACAGGATCTATTGCACTCACTATTTTAGCCATCTTCATTTTCAAGCTCTGAATCACAGTTAGAAAATTCTGCCTTTATAGCACCATTCTGTATCAATGGGATTCACTCCTAATAGGCATACATAACACATGCTAGGAGAGAATTTCAGTTTGCAAATGGCTAAACAATACATTTAATACAATCAAATAAATAGTTACAAGTCCTAGTGTAGATTTAAGCACAACTTCTGCTTTATTTTTCAGCTCAAGCCTCCTCTACTCAAGCCACTTATGAACATGTTATCTCCTCTTGTCAGAGAATAGGGAATACAGGGTGCACCACTGAATTCTGACAGTAACGCCACCTGTGCAGCTGAAGGTTAGGAAAACAAAGAAGTGTTTGCAGAAGACAGTGATTTCCAAATAGCAGACTGTAGGCAATATGAAGATGATCTGTCTATGTTATCAGCTGTAGCTCAAAGGACTAAAGGCCACACACCAAACATAGCAGCAAACATATGTTTAACTCTGTGTCAACATAGCAGGGAACATCAGCCAAACTTGGCTTCCCTTTTGTTATGCGTACATATCTATGTGGGGCTTTTCAACGCGTATTGATTTAAGACCTATATGAAGTGGCTCTAAGTGGATTTTGTTTCCAAGTCAAAGGCCAGAATATGACCCTAAACAAAAACAAAATGTCTTTGTTCAGGGTCATATTCGTTGTAGGAAAATGTTTGGGTCCCTGTAGAAAAATGTTTGGTAGGGACTGGCAGAAGAAATAAATTCAACAATCAACAGTAACATTCTGAGAACCTTTCTTCTTTCTCTCATTCACTCTACAAACTGCTTCTGAGGCATTAATCCAAAGTCCAAAAAAGAAAACACAGCAGTACACACATACATAAAGAATATTATAGTGCCAGTAAAGATAAGTTCTGCCTACCTCTGGAAAATCTCCTGTAGCGTGTCACGTGTAAAGGCATTGCTGTCCTGGAAGACATTATTGAGGGCATGGAGAGCACACAACTCCCTTCGTTGTTTTTCATGATAAATATGCACTGGCATCAGCTGCGGCGTCTCTGGTGATTCTGATTTGGTCTTGTCACCTTTCCATGGCACACAACTCATTTTTTTCGTAGTGTACGAGGTGAAGATGGGAAGAGATAAAATGTGTAAAATCTCTTCCCACACACAAAAAACAACTAACCACTTCTTTTATAGACAGCTCCAGTTCACAAGCTGCAAACCTGTTGCTGCTTTAACAGTTGGCTTTATCAGATGACTGCATAAGAAACTTTTGAAGATCTGGATCCTTTTTCTTCCATCTTTGCTCTTCTTCAGCTTTCAAGAGACTGTCCTTAATATAGTCCCCCCTTTCTCTTGGGGTTCCCCTTGAAAAATATTTTATAATTTACATGACCATAACATCAGACTGTCAGATGGAATTTATCACATCGCTCCTTTTCCTCCATTTCCTTTGGTCAATTATGCCCACTAAGCAAAAGATCCGCAGCCTAACTCTGAAATTATGCTCACTTCCAAAAAACAAAAGATAGGACAAACTTCATGAAACTAAGCAAGGCCAGCCTGCTGCTGTTCAAAAGGAATATAGTAATGCCACCAAGGCATCAAGTGCATTTTCCCATTCTTGAGAGGCTACGTCCTAGAAACAAAAGATCCCAAGAGGGAGAAAACTGCCTCTTCCACGGCAGGAGGGAGGAAAAAGCAGCTCCACCTAGCTAATGCTCCTTGTATTCCTGATGGAGAAAAGACAGATCCAATTAGGCATGTTTTTTCCCTTTCACTATGCCGAATACAAAAATATAAATAAGCACCTCAAAGCTGGTGTTTACAGCTACGCTATACTACCCAAGGCAACAGCAAAACTCCAAGGCCTACACCATCTAGGACTCACACCCTCCCCTTTCCCTGTTTGGGTAGGCTGACTTTCCCTTGCCTTACAAATACAGCCGTTCCAGGCACTGCGGAGCAAAGGATGCTCTCCTTTCCCACCATCGTTGTGCGGCCAGAAGGAAAAGCTCCGGGAGGAAAGGGTGCCTGGGGGAGGGGGGATTCTGCGTTTGCAATCCCACCAGTTCTGGCCTGCACTGTAAAGCCGCAACTGGGCAGAAAGCAAGGCCTTGTAAACACCCCACCACCACCACCACCCACTAGTAACGGGAGAAAGTTGCTGCTTATGGCAGCCCCTTCTTGAGGACCGCGGGGGGGGGGGCACGCTGGAACAGCTACCAACTTGGGGTGACTCAGATATTCCTTGGGGAGGGGAACTGGCCAGGGTGGCGCGTGAGGGAAGCGACTCCTTCACGGGGTCAACCTTACATAGGCCCTCAGACACGAAGGGCGGGAGACCCCACGGCTGGACCCCCTTTCAAAGCGGGGGGGAAGAACGCCTCCCCGTTACCTCGCCCCCCCTCCCCGGCCCTACTCACCCGCTGGCGGCCCAGACCACCTTGGACGCATAGCCTGCACATGCGCAGCCGTCGCGCGCACGCTTAGCCCCGCCTGTTAACGTCGCAAGAGCGGGACTCCGCGTGACGTCACACCAGGTGGGGTTCGAGTCTCTGAGGCAGGACCAAAGCGCTTCTCCGCCCCTTCTGGGGACCGTCCAGCTAAGTGGGCTGAGCCTGAACAGCTGCAAGGAGTTAAGCCGGTGTAATCGTAGTTGCCCAACATTGCACAGTGTAGGGCTGTAATTTTCCTTGAAGAACTAGTGCACAATTGCAGGGACTAAAGTATTGGAGTTAAGCTACCAAGCCGGTTCAAATCTCCTCGCGCGGCTCTGGAAAGTTGCGCTCTCTCTACTGGCAAGGGCTGGTTGCGGGGTAAAAAACGGAGAGGCGGAGAAGCTTTCCTCCTGCTTCTCGGAGGAAAGACAGGACACGGAATTCCCTTACTGATTTTTAGGAGTCGCCTTTGCTCACATAACTGTATGCCTCCGGCGCTGTGGCTAACATAGTCATGTTTTTGCTTTGGCGCGCGCTGCACGGATCATCTTTTATAGCCTGTTGTGTTGGGACGCAAATGTTCTACATATATAAATCCGTCTCACATTGCAAGGAAATGGGCACCTTTTTATAAATTTAAAAGTAGCAAAGGACGGGGCTTGGTAGCCTTGTCTCCTTCTCCATAGTGGCAACGGAGGGAGTGTATCTTATTTTATTTATTTATTTAATTTATACCCTGCCCTCCCCGCATGCAGGCTCAGGGCCAAGGCACAAAGTGCAATAGAGATAAAACAGAGTAAAACAGTTGAAGCTAAAATTCACAACTAACAGGATACATGAAAGACTGTAATTATACACTCCCCATTGCATATCAGGAGGAGGTCAGGAAGGGGGACGCCATGGGCCACGATGTTCCAGTTGGTCCATTGGCCCAACCCGGCGGTACTGCTCTGCAGTTACACGGTGGTGGTAGTGGCGGCGGCTCCTACTCAAAAGTCTGGTGGAAGAGCTCCGTCTTGCAGGCCCTGCGGAACTGTAAAAGGTCCCGCAGGGCCCTGATCTCTTCTGGGAGCTCATTCCGCTAGGTAGGAGCCGCCACCTAAAAAGACCTGGCCCTCGTGGGAGCTAGCCTGGCCTCTTTAGGGCCCGAGGTCACTAGGCAGTGTTGTGACCCCAACCGAAGTGCTCTTTGGGGCCTATATGGGGAAAGGCCGGACCCTGGCCATGTAGGGCTTTAAAGGTAAGCACCAGCACTTTGAAGCGGATCCGGTATGCTATAGGCAGCCAGTGCAGCGCCTTCAGCACATGTTGGATGTGTTCCCATTTAGGGACACCCACCAACAACCTGGCCACCGCATTCTGCACCAGCTGCAGCCTCCGAATTAGTGACAAAGGCAGCCCCATGTAGAGAGCGTTACAGTAGTCTAGCCTCGAGGTGACCGTCGCATGGATCACTGTGGCCAGATTGCCGCGGCTAAGGAAGGGTACCAACTACCGCACCAGCCGAAGATGATAAAAGGCTGCTCTGGCAGTGGCCGCCACCTGGGCCTCCAATCTTTAAGGTGGGGTCCAGAAGCACCCCCAAACTCCTAACATCCGAAGCTGGCATCAAAGCTTCTGGTTGACTGTTGGAAGTTTGATTGGCTATGCAGATTTTTTAAAATGTTGCTTTGGTAGCAGTTGCCACCACAGCACAAGGATCTACACCATGTTACTGAAATTAGGTGGTGGCAATATTTTTTTGGTTGGCTCCATCTCCTGTGGCAGCCATTTTCTTGCTGTGCCCACCTGCTGTGTCAGGATTCCAAATCTCTAAAAGGTTGGGGAGCCCTGGGCTAAAGAGTAGAACTGATTCCTCACAAGCAGCTGTGCCACCCTCGCTCTTTCATTTGCCCTGGTTGCATTGGTCAATTTCACGCTATTCTCTGCACAGCCGCATTTTGACCCGCATCTCCCCCTGATTCCCCCCATGTCTTCTTGATTTCAAAAAACAAGGATCAAGAAGACACAGGGGAAATCGGGGGGGAGATGAGGGTCAAAATGCAGCTGCGCAGCGAATAGGGTGAAATTGCAACCAGGGCAAATGGAAGAGTGAGGGCGGCACAACTGCTTGTGGGGAATCGGTCTAGGTCTTAGTCTTGGTCAAGATTACTATTTGATTAGGGCCTGGTTATTGTTGGTGGTGCCCCTCCTTGCAGGCAGTGGGCATTAACCTGTCCTGCCCATGGGAATTAATATATCTGAAATGGTTTGGGAAATCTTGATATTTTAAACAGGGATGAGGTTGGAGCCCTTATGTAGGCCTGGGATCTTAGGCTTGCTGAGGCAATAGATAATGTTGCTCCCCAATGTCTTCCTTCTAGCAGAACTCCAGCTTCCTGGTTTACTAAGGAGTTTGGGGAATTAAGAAGTGCTGGGAGATAATTTGTGTGATTGACTCACATCAAGGCTGACAGGCAGGCCATACAGCCAACTGAAGATCTATGAGGTGGTGCTGACACCAGCAAAGGCTTTTGTTTCCTCTACTGTAGCATTTGCTGAATCACATCCAGCACAATTGTTCAGGACTGTACAAAACCGGCATCTGACACACTTGCAGATAATGATGTGATTATCACCTGTGATTAATTGGCTCTGTTCTTTGCAGATAAAATCTTTCTGATTCAATCTAACTTGGATGCCAGTTCAAATGTAGGTTATATAGCAACAATGTCAGAAGCACTGTCTTGCCAGTTTTCTGTGGATAGCCTTGAACAATGCAGACAGGCAGGATTCTGTGTGTTCTGAAGGCTATGATCCATGTGGCTTGGAACCCTGTCCCTTGTGACCAATCCTGCCCGAGAAGCTGAGAGTAACCTGAGTAGGAGGATTTCCCATCTGAACAAAGGAATTGTTACTAGTACACATAAGAACATAAGAGACACCAATGTTGGATCAGGCCAAAGGCCCATCCAGTCCAACACTCTGTGTCACACAGTGGGCAGAAATACCAGTGCCATCAGGAGGTCCACCAGTGGGGCCAGGACATTAGAAGCCCTCCCACTGTTGACCCCCCCTAGCACCAAGAAGACAGAGCATCACTTGCCCCAGAGCCCCTATCTATACCTTGTGGCTAATAGCCACTGATGTACCTCTGCTCCATATGCTTATCTAATTCCCTTTTGAAGCCGTCCATGCTTGTAGCTGCCACCACTTCCTGTGGCAGTGAATTCCATGTGTTAATCACTGTTTGGGTGAAGAAGTACTTCCTTTTATCCGTTTACACATTTGTTGAAAGAAGATGTAGCAATGTACAGGCTGGTCTCTAACAGTGCAGTCCTAAACAGAGCTGTATACTTCTAAGCCAAATGAAGTCAATGGGCTTAGAAGGATGTAACACTGCTGACTGTATTGTACCTTGACCTTCTGGTGCAATGTGCTGTGTTATGCCACACTTTTTCCTTCTCCCAGTGCATTTTAATATCACATTAGATTAGAGATTATCCGCACCATTGTGTTTGTGTGCTATCAATATGCAAGTAACATCCAGCTCTGCATATCATTAAATGATCCTCCAGAAGCAGCTGGATGGGTCAATCCTGGATCAATATGTGGACGCTGTGGTCAAATGGCTAAGGAAGAACAAGCAAAAATGGAATCCAGACAAGTCAGAGGTGATGATGGTTAGCTAATGCTGACATTGGAGATACTCCTCCCAGTTTTGGACTGAGTGAATTTAGCACTTAACTGATTTATGAGTGCTCTTTGATTCAAGTTTGCTCTTGGAAAAGCACGTTGGTGCTGCTGATGCAAGAATGCAATTACAGTTTGCGTGGAGCTTAATTTACCTTCTAGACTCAGCTGTTCTGGCTTTGCTGCAGGGCTGGGTTAAGGCCAACTGATGCCCTAAGCACAGCCCCACAATGATGCCCCTTGGCCCTTCCGTTGCTTGACTGACAAGACATTGAGTGCTCAACAAGTGCTGGAGGTGTAATAAGAGATTAAAAATGCGGTTTTCTTCCAGGCCATCACCCAGACCAGACCCCACAACTATAATAAAATATAAACTTTAAATATTTTAAATTTATTTAACCCTGAATAGCAGTAAGCAATAGAAGCAAAAAAACACACCCCAACCCCTCTGTGTTGCCCCCTTCCCTTGATGCCCTAAGCATGCACTTATTTCGCTTAATGGTTAATCCAGGGCTGCCTTGCTGATCCATCATGTTACGTAACCTGGCAGTGAGACTACTGAAACATGGTCTTATTTATTTATTTAGTTATTTAGTTAGTTATTTGGGTTTATATTCTGCTCTCCCCACAAGTGAGCTCAGAGCAGATCACTTCATAAATAGATAAAAACATACACTAATAAATATAACAATATTTAAAACAACTAAGTAATACAGTTTAAAACAACTGTGTATAAACACAAACACAGTTTCAGCTGGAGTGGTAAGGTCCAGCGGTGGTCTTCTTACAGACAACTCAGAAACTTTACTTGGGGGGGGGGGGGAATCTTGAGCCCTTTCTGCTGATTGGAGCCCATAGATCTGATCATATAAAGCCAGTCTTAAAATAGTGTTATCGGTTGCTTGTTTCCAGATTCCATCAGAAATGTTCCCCCCCAGGGGTCATTTCGTAGAAAAAGAGCTGCAGGAGCTCATTAGCATAACTTATTAGCATATGCCACACCCCCTGACATCACTGGAAGTGTGCGCCAGCCCCTCTGACAGGCAGAAGCACCTGGGATCCATTCTTTCCCCCCTCTCCCTTCCCTTCGCCTCCAAGTTGGGCGAAGGAAAAGGGGAGGGGGAGGATCTCAGGCGCTTCTGCCTGACAGAGGGGCTGGCGTACCCACAGCCAGCCTGGGTGAATTATAGAATCATAGACTCATAGAGTGGGAAGGGACCTCCAGGGTCATCTAGTCCAACCCCCTGCACAATGCAGGAAATTCACCAATACCCCCCACACACCCCAGTGATCCCTGTTCCACGCCCAGAATATGATTTTTTTAAAAACCTCCAGGATCACTGGGGGCCAAACTGGCCTGGAGAAATATTGCTTCCTGGCCCCAAAGTGGTGATCAGCATTTCCCTGGGCGTGTAAGAAAGGGCCACAAGAACTAAGCACTGATGCAACTCTTCCTGTTCTACCTCTCGTGATTTGTTTAAGTTCACACAAGCAGCATTATGATCCTTTTAAAGTTGAAAGCATGATATAAATTTAAAAGGACCAACAGACAGGCATACGCTCATTTGAGAAACTGAGGATTACATTACAACACCTCTGGAACATTACAGATCAGTAGAGGCAGCACTGCACAGTGGTCAGAGTTGCAGATTGATGTGGTTTATATTCTCACTCTGGTTTGTATTCTCACTCTGCTGGCTGAGTGACCCCGGGCCAAATCTCCCCTTCTCTACCTAGCCTACCCCACAGGGTTTTTGTGAGGATGAAATTGAGACTCATGGGCAGGGTCCCCAGCTTCCCTGGCAGGAACACTATGTTAAGAAATCTCTCACAATTATGCAGCCATAGCAGGCAGGAGGGAAGGAGGCAAATACCTCCAGCGCCAGAGACTTGTAGAGGAAGAGTCAAACTTTGGGGACTCACCCGTGCACCAGAGGGCGAAGGCAGCAGGAGGCAAGAAGCCTGGGCGAGCTGGGCTCCTCCATGCCTGGCAGAAGATGAGATGCGGAGGCGAGAGGTGGGCAAGCAGAAGAGGCACTCAGCCAGCCGCACAAGCTGCGTGCAAAGAAACTCCCACCGCCCCGAGCTTCAGGGCTGCCTTGTTAAAGGAGTGCAGAGGCTAGACTCGCAAATGAGAAAAAGCAAGCTCAGGGTTCGTGGGTCACATTTTGGGCTGTGGAAGAGGAACTGGCTCCATTCCTGGAGTTCTCTCGAGTTCCTGCGCTTTTGGTTTTGCTTTTTGCCAATCCGCCTTCCAAGACTGCTTCAGGTGCTCCGGCCTGAGGGCTGCTGGGGGTGGGGCTCGAGTGCTCATTACTTGTGGAGCTGAGGCTCAATGTCTCCAGCTGCTCCGCCACCTTCCCTTCCCTTGGTTTGCTCGGGGAGCCCGAGCAAGCCAGCTGCTGGAGGGAAGGAGAGGCGGTTTAAACCACCTTCCCTTCCCTTGCTCAGGATCCCCGCGGCTGCAGAGAGCCCGAGCAAGCCGGCTGCTGGAGGGATGTGCATTTGGTTCGTCTGAATGGAATGCACCCCCGAAAATGGCCCATTCGGGCCCCTTTCAGGCTGCTGCGGGCCAAATCAGATTCTCTGCTCTGAATCGGCTTCCCGCAGTTCGTCCCCATTATATCCTATGGGCCATTGAAGTCAATGGCGAAAACATAGGGTATATTCTGGGGGCTGGAGGAGAGGGAGTTAGAGGGAGATGCTCCAAAATCACAGGGTAGCTGCTGGAGCCCCTCCCCAAGATACCCACCATGTTTCAGGAACATTGAACTAGGGGGTCTAATTCTACAGTCCCCCAAACAGGTTGCCCCCATCCCCTCTATTGCTCTCTATGGTGGGAAAAAAGTTACTTTTTAAAGAGCCCCTCCCGAGAGCTGGGGGAGCCAGAATGACCTCTCGCGTGTGATCACATGCGAGAGGTGGAATTTGCCCCTACGAGTCCGAGGCCACCACCCCGGGGCTCAGGGAGGCAAGGGAACATTTCGCCCCGCCCCCCTGCGTGCGGGCATCGCGGCTGCTGCTGCGAACAGTGGCAGCGGCCATAAGTTTTTAAAGAGCCCCTCCCGAGATCTGGGTGTGATGTCTGAGTGGCGTTGCCGCTCAGACATCACACGAGAGAGGTGGAATTTGCCCCTACGAGTTCAAGGCCACCACCCCGGGGCTCAGGTAGGCAAAACAACGTCGTCGTCCCCACGCGGGCATCGCAGCTGCCGGCGGCGGCGGCCATAACTTTCTAAAGAGCCCCTCCCGAGATCTGGGTGTGATGTCTGAGTGGCGTTGCCGCTCAGACATCACACGAGAGAGGTGGAATTTGCCCCTACGAGTTCAAGGCCACCACCCCGGGGCTCAGGTAGGCAAAACAACGTCGTCGTCCCCACGCGGGCATCGCAGCTGCCACCAAGAAGTCCCCCCCCGGCAGCCATAACTTTTTAAAGAGCCCCGAAGGAGAGCTGGGGGAGCCAGAACGACCTCTCGCACGAGAGGTGGAATTTGCCTCTACGAGTCCAAGGCCACCACCCCGGGGCTCAGGGAGGCGGGGGAATGTTTCTTCCCCCCACACACACCGTGTCCCAACTGATGGCTGGTGGGAGCAGGGGCGGGGCTTATGTGCCCGCCCCCTGGGCTCCTGACTGGCGGAGCGGTGCTGCAGTGCGCTCTGGCAGGAACTGAGGCCTGTTCTCCCCCCAAAAAATGTTTCATGCTGTGATGAATGATGAGCAGTTGGTTTCTTTTAAACTCTTGTTTTGTATGTTTATTGACTTATTTATACCCTGCTTAACTTCCCTTTGTGGGTGCCTGAGGCTTACAACATCATTGTCTCTTCTTCTGTCTTATCTTCACAACAACCCTGTGAGGTAGTGGCTGACCTAAGGTTATCTAGTAAGTTTCATGGTGGACTGGAGATCTGAACTCGGATCATGAACATATGAAGCTCCCGTATACTGAATCGGGCCATTGGTCCGTCACTGTCAGTATTGCCTGCTAAGACTGGTATTGAATCTCTGGGGTCTTATGCAGCAAACAGTTTTCACATCACCTACTATGTGGTCCTTTTATCCGGGTATATTGGGAACTGAACATGGGCCCTCCTGCAGGCAAAGCAAATGCTCTACCACTGAGCCACCTCACTTTGCTCTGCTTAAGACAACTTCCAGATTCTAGTTGCCCCTTTGGCCCTGTTTTTCAGGGAGCTATATAAACAAGCTTTATGGTGGGAGAACAATTATGCTTAATGGGCCAGTTCTCCTGGAAACTATGAATCTACATTAAAACATCTGGATGAGTGAATCTTTACAATTCGCAGGTCTGGAGACTAGTCCAGGCATGTTCAGGCAGTATGCTTCATATTATGTCAGCTCCTTTGCATCAGTTCACTACCGGTGAAAAGAATTTATTTCGGCCCTCTGTCATCAGCAATAGCCAGGGACTATCCCGGAGCCGGAGAGTCCTGCCACAAAGAAGCAAAAGTAAACACAGGAAATCCCCATACTCTAACATAATAAAACCTTAATGTTTGATTAGTTTATTGATGCGCCTTTCAAATGCACATCGCTTTCTAATTGGTCAAAACGATAAATTTACAGCCTTCTTTTCTAACCTAGCCGCCTCTGTCGCTATCCTGCTCTGTGATTGGCGAGGATTTTGCTCCCGCCTCTCATTTAAATATTTAGCTCGATTGGAGACGAGCTTTGTTTATCAAGGTTTCTCCGCTCCCATTGGTCTCGACATGCTAAACGCGTAGGATTGGTTCTATACTTCAAGCCTATATTAAAGAGCTGGCGCCGCACCGCTGCTTCAGTATTTATCATTCCGATCTGGGGGAAACGGAAAATAGGGGGGAAATGAAGTGAGAGAGGCGTGACTTATGAATATTAATAATGATGTCACAGTTGTCATAGAAGCGTAGTAATTATTAATGAGGCTGCGCGGCGATTGGCGGGTAAGGTAATGAATTATTAAGCAGACTCGCGGCTTCTGTATAATTTGAGACAGGCTGGGCGGGGCCTATGCAAATGTGGCGGGAGTCGGAGACGGGGGCTGCCAAGATGGCGACCGAGCGCAGTCGCTCCCCGATGGGGGGCTCGCCGGTGCCGGCCTCGATGTTTGCCCCAGAGCCCGCGCCGCACAGTGGGACAGCGGCGGCTTCGTCCCGGCCTCACCGCGATATTCCGGACTCGGACTGCAGCGAGGACGGCGAGGTGCTCAACGGGGAGCCGGAGCTCGATCTCACCAGTAAGGTAGGCCCGGTTGAGGCCACCGGGGGGCGGGCAGCGACTGGCGGAGGAGAGTCCGCCGGTGTCGAGCCCTCATCAGCCGCCTTTTCTTCCTCCCCCACCCCCGAGAGTTGCTTCAGCATCTCTCTCCTCTGAGCTCCCCCGCGGGAGCGGGTGACCCTCCTTGTCCTTTGGGCTGAGCAGTGTAACTAACACGGGCTAGGTAGCCGTTCACACATTACACACTGCCCGCTCTGTCGATTCCTTCAGAGGTGTCAAGACGGCTATGCCCTCTCTTTCCAGCCTTGTAAATGTTTAAATCATATATATGTGTGTGGGGTCCTTATGTCGATGAGCAACCGAGCGGTGGTGTTTCCAAGGGTACCACGATATGGTGGACGTGGCAGAGGTGTGCCTGCGTTAAGAAACTGAAGCTGCATGTTTTTAATTTGTGTTGTGTCGGCCCAGTGTCGCCCACAGGCTGTGGGATGTGTCCAGTACTTCTTTCATCTTTTCAACGACTTTAAAAGGTGTTTGTAATTGTTATAGTGTAGTTGGGTGCTTTTCAGAGTGCTGGGGAATTAAAATGTGATGAAATCGGCAATGAGGGGGGGGGGGCACTTTTCAGACCTAAGAATGTGTGTCAGCGCCTGAGCCCTTGAATTCTTGTTCACCTGTAATGCTGGTGGGTGTGTGGGGCAAATCACGTGATAGGCTCCAAACAGGTGGGATGTGAAAGAAAGGTGTCCTTGAAAGTTGATGATGGAATCATTTTGGCATGTTTTTGCCCTTTTTGCCCCTTTTTGAGGCTTGTACATCTCAGCCTGATTAGTGACTCCTGTAGTTCAGAGTAAATGGGATCCATGACCAAAATGCTGGAGCAGCTGCTTTACATAAGATGTAATGTGGCATTCAGTATTAGTAGTTCATATGCATTTTACATATTTAACCATAGCAAAATAGCCACATTTATTTCTATAGTATTGTATGTTTTCTCAGTCTGCTTTGGAGAGATATGCTTTACTGAACATTTTTAAAAAATCTCTTCTCCTTCACAGTCAATTGCCGTGAGCTCTTTTTTCAATTCTTGCTTTTTAACTTTTGTAGCCTTTGACTATGGTTGCACCATTGATTGTTGCCTAGTATAGACAGCACTTTGTTTTGATGAAAGTCTTTCCAAATGTATCTTTTTGATGTCGTTAAAAATGTACAAAAGCAACTTCTGAGGCTGACATCTCTGAAAAGACAGTGTGGAGACTTGTTCCCACATTGTCAAAGCGGTATGCTTATCAGTGGGTATTTATCTTTCTGTTCAGCTAGTAATGGTGAGTCCAACATCGGAACAGTATGATAGCTTGCTCCGGCAGATGTGGGAGAGAATGGATGAAGGATGTGGAGAGACAATCTATGTCATTGGTCAAGGGTCAGGTGAGCATGATTTCCTGCTTCAGTAGTGAAAGTATTTATGTGACGGCTTTATTTATACTCCCAGATCCTAGTCTGACTCTGTAGCTACTACACCAGACTGGTGTTAAAAAGCATTAGTGGCTCAATAGTTATGTTTGCTGTTTACAAGTATGTGGGGAAGGGATGGTAGATCCTCGGGTCTTGAGTTTAAAAATCTCTATTCCCTAGTACACTAAATGCATTTGACAATCACCACCGCACTGGGAAAGATTGAAGGTCAAAGAAGACGGGGACGGCAAAGGATGAGATGGTTAGACAGTGTCATAGATGCAACGAACATGAAATTGAGCAAACTTCAGAAGATGGCGGAAGACAGGAAGGCCTAGCGTGATCTGGTCCATGGGGTCACGAAGAGTCGGACTTGACTGTGCGACTGAACAAACAACAACAACCGCATCCATACAGCTAATGCTTTAAAATGTTAGCTAAATTATTTTGTCCCACAGTTACAAATACTGTTTTCAATAAACTATGCAGTCCTTTGCTTTGGATTTGGTCTGAGCATAATACTGAGAGTGGTGCTAGCAAGTATATCTTGTTTACCCCCAAAAGGTATTTATATCTTTAGAAAGCCAGCATTGTCTTATGGTTAGAGTGTTGGACTAGGATCGGGCAGACCCAGGTTCAGATCCCCACTCTGCTGTGGAAGCTGGGTGACCTTGGGCCCAGGGTAGATTTGATTTGAATCAATTTGATTTAAATCACAATTTAAATTGCTAGTCAGTAAGACTTGATTTAAATCAAGGTTTTATACCTAAAGGCTCCTTCTCGCTATTTGTTATAACCGTAATATTTACAACCCAAATGAATGTTTTGTTTTTAGAGGTTAGTTTTACAGCTATATCAGAAAATTAATTATTGGTAGTTTACCATTCAAAATAGTTCCCCTTGCAGAGGTTTCATAATTAGCTATCTTCAGGTTAATAGGTCAGTTATTCATATATGGACAAATTTTCTGTTGTACTTTATCAGAAGGAGAAAAAATAATAATTAACAATAGCCATTTAAATTGTTTTATTTAACTAAAACAATAACACTGTTTAGTTTTTATTTATTGGCAGTCTTGAATGAAATTTTAAATTCCGTGTTTTGAATGTTTTTTTTTAAATTTACATTGTAAGCCTCCCTGTGTTTTGCAAGGTAGAAAAGTAGCTAATAAATGCTTTAAATAAATAAAAGTGGGATATAAGTGAAGTAAATGAGTAAATAAATACCTTTCCTGTATTCTTGTAGGCTAGAGTGTGAGCTGGCATGTTTCCTTTAGTATGCATTTACCATGTGTCCTTGCAGTCTCCTTGAATGTACCTGTTTTTGAATTACAGCAGTGTGACATCTGAGCAAATCTAAAGTCTTGCCCCTTGTATCAGCATAAGTTTTAGTTCCTGTGTATAAGAGATGAGGGACAGGGAGACGCTGACTTTGCACTTGACCCTCCTGCTTTTTTCTTCAAAAAGCTGTGCTAAGAATTTGCTGAGAGTAGAGCAGTAGAGACTTGCATTGGGCATTCACCATGCCTGGTCTGTATTTGCAGACCTTTTTGAGTGCTAAGGAAGGGTCAACTGATTATAAAATAGATGTTTCTTGTTGTTGTCTCAACCCAGAAGACATTCAGCATTGTTCATTTTCTCCCCCACCCCACTCTGTCAGATGGGACTGAATATGGGCTCAGTGATGCAGACATGGAAGCTTCCTATGCCACAGTGAAGAGCATGGCAGAACAAATAGATGCAGATGTGATCCTCTTACGAGAGCACCAGGAAGCAGGAGGAAAAGTACGTGACTACTTAGTTCGGAAGCGTGTGGGCGACAATGACTTCCTGGAAGTCAGGTAAGAGATATAGGTAGAGGCAGGGTTAGTCAGCTAGGATAGCTGTTCCCGTAGTCTGCACAGGTAGTAATGGGAAGCTGGTAACTCTGGTTTGACTGTGGGAGTGACCTGGCCTCACCTTGTAATTACATTCTCTCTTCCTTTATGCTTTGTATACAAGCTGATTATTACATTCTTGAATGCGTGCTTGGCTCATCAAATGCTGTCTGATTAGGCAGCTTCTAGTATTGGCGTTTTGTTTGTAAGCCTGGAATGTCGTTGGCTGAAATCCTGTTCTTGTTCTTACTCTGTAGACTTTGAAAGGTCTTGCTTAGGGCTGGTATATGATATCTACCTTATAGTGGCTTGTGGATATGATTGTTTCTAGGTCAGGAAGTTGACTTTAGCATTGTTTTATAGTGACAAATGTTCTTCCATTGGGTGTTAAAATGTGTATATAAAATTATTTGTATTAAGATTTGGAAAAATAACAGGCATATGGTTTCTTAAATTAAAATGTGATGGTGGTGACTAATAGTTTCAGCTTTTTAAAATCTTTGCTCAGAGCAAGCATATTACAGCTGTGGTGCTGGCTCTTAAAATATGATTCTGGCACTTAAAAATTGAAAAATTGTGTATTTATTTCATTTATAGTACATCATCCTCACTGAGATTCAAGACAGATTCCAAAATCTGGAAAACAGTTCAGTTAGACATCATATCCAATAAACAATTCAATGGTACTGGAATTACAGACTTAGAAGGCCAGTGTAAACCAAAAATCTGTTGAAGGCATGAAATACTGTATTCTAGTGATGTTTGTAATGCATTGTGAATATCAGATGGGGGGAAAACCTGTCTTGGTATTTGCAGTGACAATAATATAAGAAGAGGCCCTTGAACCAATATAAGATTCTCCTCTAGCTTAGCACTGGTTAGGTTTCTGAGCCTGTAGACTCGACATAGGGTTGTACAGCCCTTCTGCCCCCTCAGTAAAAGTTTTCTTGTGATCAGGATGCATGCTTGATCCTCTTGCTAGTAAAAAAAAAAATACGCAGAGATTGATTGAGCAGGGTGGGTTGTATTCATGAGGGGATGTACACGTGTACTTTGTCATGCATGACATTTTGCATATGGTAGCTGCATCTGTACAAGGCTAAGACCTTTGGGCATCCCACTGCCTGTCAAGCCTACCTGAGAGGGGGGCAGTGAATGGGCCCTTAGTTGGATATGAGCTCTCATAATGTATGACACTGTACGGAAAAAACCCTATTTTTGATTTAATCCTAGTCATGAGGATTAAAAGTTGTAATCGTAGGTCCAGACCATTCTGTAAAATTTAGGCTGGTTTATGAGCTGTGGTGTTTAAGAAACACTTCTGGTGTTCAATTATACCATGATGTACTTCTTAGTTAAACAACCAGAACTTTTTTGGGGGGAAATCTATCCAATTTAGAGCTCTAGAAGTAACTTGCTCTGCTACGCCTTCCCTGTAATCTAGAAGATGCCGCTTGGATCCCTGTGGTATGGTTACTATTTCAGTAGCCGCAGCCTCTTACATATACTAGATGGTATTGCCCTTTAATGGCATCGGGGAACTGATATTAAGTCTTGAATTGGAGGTGAATGATCTAATACCTTCCTTCTGCCTTCCTATAGGGTAGCAGTGGTCGGCAATGTAGATGCTGGGAAGAGTACCCTGCTGGGTGTCCTCACCCACGGCGAGCTGGACAATGGGCGTGGTTTTGCCCGGCAAAAACTCTTCCGCCACAAGCATGAGATTGAGTCGGGCCGGACCAGCAGTGTGGGCAATGACATTTTGGGCTTTGACAGTGAAGGCAATGTAGTAAACAAGCCTGACAGCCACGGTGGAAGTCTGGAATGGACTAAGATTTGTGAGAAATCAACAAAAGTTATAACTTTCATTGATCTTGCTGGGCATGAGAAGTACCTGAAGACTACAGTCTTTGGCATGACGGGGCATCTACCTGATTTCTGCATGCTAATGGTAAGCTGTGTGGGTGTGGAGCACTACCAAAGATAGTGAGGCAGTTGCCATCTGTGACACTTTTCAAGCATCTTCAGGCATCTTTTCAAGCATCTGTCTCATGCTCCTTTTCTGAACTGGGTGGTCTGTTCATACCTGTTGCTCTGATATGGGTGAAAACTGTAAATAGTCTGATCATGCACACCATGTTAAGCTGAAGTCCTTTCAAGAGTTTCTGTACTTGTAGGAGTATAGAAGGTATCCCCAGATCTTTTCTTGCATCTTCCATGTTGTAATATTAAGGAACTATAAAATAAAAAAGTGCCCTAGAGTTTTCCCTATAAAATGTGCTTAAAAATCCAGAAGTATAACACATGCATTGGTATTGGAAGATATTCAGTAACTTATGGTAATCTTTCATTGCAAAATGTTGGAACTTTCCAAGTCAGCAGTGTGTTGCTCACAACATGGCTTCTTGTAGCACTACCACGTTCTTTATCTGTCTGACGCGCATTTTCAGTGGGTTGAATTGGGTGGTCTGTTCATACCTGTGGCTCTGATAGGAGTGAAAACTGTAAATAGTCTAATCATGCACACCATGTTAAGATGAAGCCCTTTCAAGAGTTTCTGTACTTGTAGGAGTGTAAAAGGTCTCCCCAGATATGCAAGGCTTGTTTCCCATTTCTGGACCCTCACTTGGCAATTGTCCTAGCTACCTTGCCTCCCTTCCAAAATAAACAAAAGACTTGGGCATATGCTCTGGAAGGTGAGATCACCTGTGTCTGCCCATGGTTCTTAACATGGGTTGACTTGGACTGTGTCTGCCACTGTGGATTTCTTCCTGTGACACAGATGAGCAAAATGTCCCTTTATCTCTGCCTGTGCCTCATCCACGTGAATAAATAGAAGCATAAAAATTATTTTTGAGCAAGCAATCCAAACTACCTCTACAAGGAGGACGTTGGATACATCTTGTTTATACTGTTGAATTGTCCTGGAAAATTTGTGGACTTTGTGCTTTAGGGAATACTAACTGTTCTTTCCTTCTTAATGTATGAAGTTCTTCCTTTTGGGGTGAGTTGTCTGCCTGAGGCCCAGCACAGGCAAAGTGTGACTTCTAGGCAAGCCTTTGGAGGTGATCTGCTTGCCTGCCACAGTTTTTACTTTTGCTTGTGCTTTCTTTGATACAGGTTGGCAGCAATGCTGGAATTGTGGGGATGACCAAGGAGCACCTGGGTCTGGCATTAGCACTCAACGTTCCAGTCTTTGTAGTGGTGACTAAGATTGACATGTGTCCTGCCAATATTCTTCAAGGTAAACGGACGTTGACACAAACAATTTCTTTCAGTTTTGAAATGTTTGCCTTTTCCTACTTTGGCAATGTGCCTTCAAATAAACCAAAGAAACTTTAAAAATATTATTTTCCCCTAATTATCTCCCAGTTTCTGTTCTAATTTTTTTGCATTAATTCAATAAAATTCTTCTTCACTGGAACCTCTTTTAAAAACTGCATTTCATCCTAAAAGCTCTAGATGTCTTTAGCCTGCCACATCTACAATTTTCAAAACGATTTCTTCATCAGTGAAGTAAAATAGCTCCAACATGGTGTTGTTTCTTGCTTACCTGCTCCCGCACTCAGCTAACTTCTGGGAAAGGAGAGGAAACTCTTCTGCATTCATTAAGATTTAGACCTCTTTAGCCTTATAATGATGTAGAGAGAGACACTGTCCATTCCAAAGACCTGCTTCTTCCTCTGGCTGCTGTGGCCATAAATGCTTTCCTTTTCTAAGAAATTCTTTTCACTCAGCTTTGGTTCACTCTTAAGACATTTTGACAGAAGCAGCCATTTTTTATCATCAGTGTCCTGTGGTCAATGTTAACTTTTAGGCATCTGGTTGCTAGTAATGGAGAGAGGGGGGTTGTTTATATAAATACGCAATTTTGCAAATCAAGTGGTTAAGATGCTGAACTGCAGGCTGCGGAAGGTCACTAGTTCAGCAGTTCAAGACCCGGGTGTGCCGCATGACGGAGTGAGCTCCCGTCTCTAGTTCCAGCTCCTGCCAACCTAGCAGTTTGAAAGCAAGAAATTGCAAGTAGATAAATAGGTACCACTTCAGTGGGAAGGTAACAGCGTTCCGGGCGCCTTGGTGTTTAGTCATGCCGGCCACATGACCATGGAAATGTCTTCAGACAGCGCTGGCTCTTCGGCTTTGAAACGGAGATGAGGACCGCAACCCTAGAGTCGGATTCGACTGGCTTTCGAGCAAGGGAACCGTTACCTTTACCTTTTTAGAAACTATCTGGATGGTCTCTTCTGTGATCTGTCTCTCCCTCATCATGAAGGCTAAGCACCTGGACTTATTGAAATATGAAATTCCCGGAAGCTGAGAAATGCACCGGTTTCAAAATCTGTTCTTGACAGAGGGAATATGCATAAGGCTCTGTTCTGCTCACTGCTGTAGTAAAGTGATAGAGAGAGCTGCCTGCTGATCCATGCCACTGTAACCTCAAGGCTGGATCATTGTAGTGTGTTGAATGTGAAGCTGCCCTTCTTAAAGACCACCCAGAAACTGCACCCGGTTGACTCTCCTCTTTGAGCATATCACTTTAGTTCAGGAGTGCCTGCATTGCCTGTTTATTTGTTTCTGAGCTCAGTTTACAGTGCCGGTGGCATTATGTGGCTTGGGGCCACTTACCTGAAAGCCTGCCTCTCCCTAGATGAGCACTCACACCAGCAGCAAATAATCTTGGCAACTGGTGCTTTCGGTTCCCTTCCCTCCCACAGGACTGTGAGGACCATGCTTGTCTGTTCAAGGCTTTTTCACTAGTGGCTCTGAAGTGGGCGTTCAGTGGATATCGAAGCCATCCCACCCGCCCTGTCGTTTGCAAGGCTATGCAAAATGGCCCTGTTTACAAGGACTTTGTAAAGTCTATTCTAAATGAACCAGTTGTCTTTTAATGTGATGCTTGTTAATGTGCTGCTTTTGGATTGCTGAGGTTTCTTATTCCCGGGTCGTAAAGTGGTATGACTATCAAAATTTTGGGGCTGTACTGTAATTGTTTATAGGGATATGTGTTATGTAAACTGCCTTGGGTTGAAAGAAGGCAGTACAGAAATTACTAAATCTTGTTTGGAGGGGGGGAGTTGTGAATGTCTCTAATGCACAGCCTGTTTGAGTGCTATGGCAGGTGTGTGTCTTAACTAACCGGCCAAAGTTAAGTTGTTACTGAATGGAATATTTGCCTCACTGTGTTCGTTGTATTACTCAAGAAACCCTGAAGCTGTTGCAGCGACTTCTGAAGTCCCCAGGATGCAGGAAAATCCCCGTCCTGGTCCAGAGCAAGGATGATGTCATTGTTACCGCCTCCAACTTCAGCTCTGAAAGGTAACTGGAGCAAAATCTTCCTTCCTTCAGTAGACATACCCAGTTCAGCATGAGGGGTATCCTCAAAATTTTAAAGCCAAACCAGTGAATAGCTTTGAGTAACCTATGATCTTGTTCCTTTAGGATGTGCCCAATATTCCAGATTTCGAATGTCACTGGTGAGAACCTGGATTTGCTTAAGATGTTTCTCAATCTTCTGTCTCCACGGACCAGTTACAGGGAAGAAGAGCCTGCGGAATTCCAGATAGATGACACCTACTCTGTTCCAGTAAGGAAAGTGATGCTTGGAGTCACTTCCATGTTTGCAGAGCTGAGAAAGGAATGGGAAAGTTGACTGGATTCCACCCTTGCTCTCCCATAGTGCCTAACTCAGTTTTTCTCTTTCTGGTGTAGGGAGTTGGAACCGTGGTGTCCGGGACAACACTTAGAGGGCTGATCAAGCTAAATGACACCTTGCTTCTAGGACCAGATCCCCTGGGTAACTTCTTGCCCATTGCCGTAAAGTCCATTCACCGCAAGCGCATGCCAGTCAAAGAGGTGCGGGGAGGGCAGACAGCCTCCTTTGCTCTGAAGAAGGTAAGCGTGAGCCCTGTTCTACTGGGAGAACATTGCCTTTCAATAACTTAGCTGCATGTCGCTTGACAACAAGTAGTGGGTTTTGTACACAAATTGCAAAGACATCAGAGAGCAAAATTTGGCTTTAAAAGATGATAGAAGCTACACTGTAAGGAATACGCCATTGGTGAATCATTTGTCTGGCAGTGAGAAATGTATTGGGAAGGCTTTTCATATTCAGACATCTCTCAGTCCATGAAGGTTAGAAGTTTGCTTTTTTTCTGGCTGAAAGCTAGGATTCTTATTGGACCCTGGCAGAAACATGTGCTTTGAGAGTTGCACACAGAGGATGAGGCAAGATCACCATGTCAGGATATTGGACCTCCTACCAATATACTCTGCATTGTGCCTGAAACCTTGTAGTAACTTTGTGCTGACCGAAGTGTCTGTTGAAGTTAGTCCTCCTGAAGTTGTGTGTCTCTGTCTTTTTCCCCCATTGCAGTGGTCCTGCTCAGCATTGTTGCATTCTGGTTGCACAGGCATCCCATTCCATCACAAAGGAAGTTGTATGTCAAACAGCTCATGGCCCTCTATAAAACAGCTGTAGCAACTGTGTATCTGGGTTCCTCATAAGCAAGAGCCAGTTCCTAAGCCCTGGTTTGATCTGTCCTCATCTCCTTTTTCCAGATCAAGCGCTCCTCCATTCGAAAAGGCATGGTGATGGTGTCTCCTCGGTTAAATCCCCAAGCATCTTGGGAATTTGAAGCTGAAATCCTGGTATTGCATCATCCTACCACCATCAGTCCACGTTATCAGGCGATGGGTATGTGGTATCGCTTCCTCGGTCCCTTTTCCCTCCACTAGAAAGTTCACGTGTGTCAGTATCATCTTGGGGTGTGGTGAACCTGCTTCTAATGCTAGTTTTCTGGTGAGCTGCTGCATTAAGTTACTAACTTAATGGGGAAGAACTGAATCAGAAGGCACAATCATGTACAGCAGTGTTTGCAAAGTGGAGGGATCCTGCACTGTGTAGGTTTACACTGGGAAGCTGTGTAATCCATTGTGGGACCTTCAACTCCTAGTTCAGCTGTGGGAGAGTCACCTGCATGGTGTAATTCAAGGGCAGACAACCTCTGGCATGGGTGCCAATAGCAGCACACCAGACCATTTTGCTTGGCACCCACAGCCATCCAGATGCCCACCAAGGTCCTGGCTGTGCTGCTGAGACCCCCTCAGTGCAGGAGACCTGTGCAGAGTGCAAGGCAAATCCCTGAGATGCTGTTAGCACCACTGGGGCTTGGCTTACTACTTCAGCATTTGGACAAATACAGCTTTGGGTTCCCCCCACCCCCACCGCATATTGCTGTTTTTGGGGGACACTTGCAACAAAAAGGTGTCCTGGTGATGGTTAAAATACCAGGCTAGGATTTGGGAAGTCGGTTTCAAAATCCTGCTCTGCTTCCTGGGTGGAGATCTCAGGCCAGTCTCCCCCTCTCAGCCTAAGCATCATAGGATCTAAGAAGGGTATAAATTTTTGATATAGAATAAGGCTGCTGGAGAAAAAAAAGTAGCCTGCTTCAGGAATTAAATTGCTGTCATTCACTCTTCTCTCATCAGCATTCTGATTGATGCAAGTCCCTCCAGTGCTCCTGATTGCCACAGCTTTTACAGTGTTAGGAGTTGGGGTCTTTTGGGACCGGAGCGTTGCTTCGGCAGCCCAGGAGCCCAGGCAAATGGTGGCGGTGGCAAGCCCCGCCCCCAGCTCCCTGCGCCGAAAGTGCTGCAGCTCGGGGGAAGCCTGGAGAGCCCCACCACCGGCTCCCCTGGGCCCGCGCAGAAGCGCTGCGGCTCGGGGGAGTCCCAGAGAGCCCCACCACCGGCTCTCCCGGGCCCGCACAGAAGCGCTGCGGCTCGGGGGAGGCCCAGAGAGCCCCGCCGTCGGCTTCCCCGGTCCCTGCCAAAGCGGTAAGTAAGGGATCCGTAGGTCTTTCCCTTCTCTTCCTTCCTTCCTCTCTTTTCCTCCTTTCCTTCTCTCTTTCATTTCCTCCTTTCCTTCTCTCTTTCATTTCCTCCTTTCCTTTTCTCTTTCATTTCCTTCTCTCCTTTTCATCTTTTCCTCCTTCTCCCCTTCTCTCTTTCTTTCTTTATTTCTTTCCCACCTTCTTCTCTTCTCCTTTTTCCTCCTTTCTCTCATTCCCTCCTTCTTCCCTTCTTTCTCTTTCTTTCCATCCTTCTTTCCTTCTCTTTTTTCCCCTCTTTCCTCCTTCTGTGGCCCAACTCTAGTGAGAAGGGGTTTAAACCCTTCCTTCTGTGTTTAAACTTTAAACCCTTTCTCTCTTTGCCCCCCCCCCCCCGCAGGCCAGCTAGGGAAGGGGAGGCTTTTGAAGATGCCTTCCCCCCTTTTGCTTCCCCTTCTGACATCACTTCCCGTGATGTCAGGAGGTGTGGCATATGCTAATAGCCTAGTAGTAACCATATGCTAATGAGCTCCTGCAGCTCTTTTTGTATGAAAAGACCTCCGGTTAGGAGACTGTCTAGGGGAAGTGCCACAGGATGCAGCTTGGCGTGCTGTGCTCTAGCCGGCAGTCTGCTCCTCTTGACTTGGACCCTCCTTGTGTAGCATAGTAGTAGCTGCTTTGGGGTATCTGTACTGCTTGGCCTTGTTCCGTGGCTGCCAGTTGAGTCCCCATGGGAAACTTACTGTTTGTAGTGCACTGTGGCAGCATCCGCCAGACAGCTACTATCCTCAGCATGGACAAAGACTGCCTGCGCACAGGAGACAAGGCCACCGTTCACTTCCGCTTCATCAAGACCCCAGAGTATTTGCACATAGACCAGCGGCTTGTCTTCCGCGAGGGCCGTACCAAAGCTGTGGGCACCATCACAAAGGTAACTAAGAGCTTGGGATGGGAATGGGGTGCGTGCGGATTTGTAAGCGTTGCTTTCTCCTTATTGATGATAGGAACTCAACCCTTTCTCTCTAATTAGCGAAACAATGGTTCGTTAGTAGATGGTGCCCTGGGATGATGGGGAAACTTCTAGTTTGTTTCAGGGTCTTTGTGCCTTGTTTGATGCATGGGATTTCTTGAGCTGAATCCTGTGGCCCTATTCCCTTTGTTGCATTCTGCTTCTTTCTGTCTCTAGGGCAAGAGTGAGCCTTGCATAGTCAATCAGAAGCCCCAGTCCTTTGGTTTGCCTCTAGCTCTGCTGAAGGAGACAGTACCAAGTGGGACACACCTAGCTCATCTATAGGAGGAGAAGCAGGCAGCAGGAAGGCCTAGTTCCCTGCCTGGTATTTCCCCCTTGCCTTCCAGCTGCAGGGGTTTAGAAGAACAAAGATAGAGAAGCCCAAACTTACTTCTCTCTCCCACCCTTCCTTGCTGCAAAAGCTGTGAATGACACTTGGTCTGAGAAGGCAGTAACTGCCTTGTCCTGGTCTTTCAGTACTCTGTGTCCTCCGTGTTTGTGAAGACTTTCTTTTCCCCAAGGTTTTTGGTGATTAGATTTGCGCTCCCCCCTCCTCCTCCTCAACAGATTTTTCTTCTAGAATTTCCTTTCATACTGTTTAATGTACATTTGTGCTCGTTCTGCTGTGTTACTGTTCTTGTTAATGGATATTTTTGTGAGCTGCCTCAGGAACTGTTACGAGGCAGCACAGAACTGTTTTAAATGAACTGTTTTCTAGGCCCTCTTAGTGTCAAGGTTAACGGCTTAGCTGATGCTTTGTGGCTTTTTAAAGTAACAGTGATATTTACTTGCTCTGCTTGGCAGTTACTCCAGACCACCAATAACTCTCCAATGAACTCCAAGCCCCAGCAGATCAAGATGCAGTCAACAAAAAAGGGGCCCCTGATAAAGCGAGAGGATGGGGGGGCCCAGGCTGGCCAGGCAGCGGCGAGCCCTACTGTGGCAGATGAGGCGGTTTCCTTGGGGGCAGCACCCTCAGCACCGTCTGGCGCCCAGCAACCACAGGTATGCAAAATGGCCCCTCCATCTGTTCCTTACTGCCTGGTAAGGACTGTCCTAAACATCATTAATGGCTTTGGGGTTTCCCCCCAGTAATTAAGGAATCAAAGCTGCTCTGATGCTAATAAACAGCTTTGTAAACAAATACAACATCGCCTGCCTCTTCAGCCTTGGAAAAGAGCGGGATTGTCTCAAAAAAAAAAAAAGGGAGCTGCTTGCTGGGGATCATCTTGTGGCAGCAAAGCCTTGTTCTGTGGGCCTCCTTAACTGCAGGCTGACCTGGTTCCTTGAATTTTTCTCACTGAAGATCAGAAACATCTGGCACCTGGTGTTTTTTTATCTAGCACTGACTAGAAAAACCATTTTTAACCATTTCTTGTGTGTTGAAACTTCAGCTGTCACACTGAGTTCCTATGAGCTCAACTGCCATTTCATGGTTTGCACCGGGCCCTGCTTAGTTTGTCTTCACTGTGTGAAGTAAGGATGTCCACAGCAAGAAGTGGGGCCTCGTCTGTGATGGGCTCGAGGCCGCCCTTAGCTGTTGAAGGGGTATGAAAGGTGACTGTTTTTGAAGTATCTTGCTGTTGGTTTCTTCAGTTAAACGGTGGCTTCTGCTGTCGGTCGCCTGTATTTCAGTGGGGCTTTCGTGGCACAGTTGCACTTTGAGTGTATCGTGTTGGAGCCGGTGTGGTGTAGCAGCTGGAGGATCTGGGGAAAACCGTGGTTCAGATCCCCTAGCCAGCTGTCAACGTCACCTTGGGCCAGTTGGCTCTCTTGAACCCAATCTAACCTACCTGACAGGGTTGTTGCAAGACAGGAGGGAGTGGGCATGATCTTCCCCAGCTCCTTGGTGGAAAGGTTGGATAAATTTTAAATACACTCGATGTAATTGCGTGCCATCCTTAAACAATGGAGAAACCAGATATAATGTGTTGAATTTCAAGTTATGTGCTAGAACTGGCAGAAGAAAAACACGGAGTCCAGTGGCAGAAGCTTGACTTACCACAACAAGGAAATGCTTTGTAACTAGGTGTGCTCTGCAGGAGGAACACAAAGGTTTTGAATGACTCTTGCTTTACCCTATGCTAAATAGCTCTTTGCTTGCTTTGCTGTCTCTCCTCCCTGTTCCCCACCGTCACCAGTACTTCCTACTGCTCTAACAGTGGCCTGTTTCTAAGGGCTTTCTCCCTTGTGTCTGTCATGCTCTGCTCATTCTCTTACCTATGCTTTTCTTTCCCTGATGCTTTCCTTCAGCCTGCACTGGATGAAGAGCCCCACAACCGAGAGGGCAATAAGGTATTTCTGCATCTTTGATAGCTTTGGCTTCTGTGCCTCCATGAGCAACTCATAGGGAACTTGGGAGACTTTTCCTTCCCCTAAAAGTCTAAGGCCCGGTTCACATGTGGTGGTAAAATGGACTGCACCACCTGAGACTGCAGGTAGCCCCAACTTGTAAAGTTCCTTCATATAAAAAGACTTTGAGCGAATAGAATACTTAACACAGCAGTGATGAGAGAATTCGCAGTGTGGGCTGTCTGTTTGCAGGGAGCTCTTAACATAAAGCAGTCGTCCAGACCGTGACCCCTCCCATGTAGTCTGGAGTGGTGCAGTCCATTCTGTTCTTTCCTTCCCCTGCATGTCTGAACCAGGCCTCAGTCTTCTGTGCTCGGGGGAAACATCCTTTGAACTTCCGTTTAGGGAAGCGTGACATTCTTCAGAGCATCTAAGAAGATGAACTCCTTTTTAATCTTTTCCTGCCCTCTCAGGCAAAGTTGCGATACGCAGACCGCTTTATTGCTTGCAGAGACCTTTCCTTTCTTCCTCTGGGGCTGACCCTCATGGCTGTTTCTGATTCCGTTGCTGGCAGAGATGTCTCTTGTTCAGTTAGCGACAGTGTGGTCCAGGTGGCTTCTTGTCCATCCCACCCCACCTGATCCAGTTTTCTTGTTTCCCCAGGCCAAGGCTGGAGGAGGAGGCCGGCGACGTGGAGGCCAGCGCCATAAAGTGAAGTCTCAAGGAGCTGTTGTGACTCCTGCTGGCGGCTGTTGAACATTGTCCTACTCACTGAGGGATTCTTGCACCCTCTCCCCCTTTCTTCAATCCCCCCATTCTCTGCCAAGCAGCATAACCAAAATCCATCTCAGCTGATCTGTTGCTGCAGTGGAGCTTTCTTCCCTTCCCGGAGGGGAGTGATGGGGGCCAGGTGTGTGTGGGTGTGTGTGTCAGCAGCTGAAGCTAACAAAGGTGACAAAGCACATGTGGGACTGACCGACTGCCGCCTTCTCCCTCTGCCCCAAAACATTTTGTACATTGTGAGCTCTTAGTCCATTATTTTTATTAGTTTTTATTATGGTGGACACTTGTGTGTGTGTGCATGAAGAATCAGGAGAAATCCAGGTATACAAAATAAGGTACCTGTCTACTTTCTCCTGCCCCTGCTCATTTTTTTTAAAAAAAGAAACTAATTCACCTTTGGTCCCGCAGTCCAGAGCTTCTAAAAGCATTAAGCCCTTTAAGAGCACAGATTCTCTAAGGGGCAGCGATCCATGCTCTCTGGCGGTTATGGTGCTGAGTGCATGCTAGTCCTTCCCACTTGTAATGCGACCGTGATTGCCATGAAGGAAACTCACGACCAGCATCAACCCAAGAGATGGGTTTAAAGTGAGACCCTAGGTCAATTACAAGTTGAACAAGTGCTTAAAAGCTTGGGGTGTGGTTGGGTGATAGAAACAGAAGCACTTCTTTCTTCCCACCTGAAAATAATCACTATGAGGACTCCAGTTGATGGGAGGAAAGGCCACATGGTGTGGGGGTGGGCTGGGAGTTTTGGTTATTTTTCTTACAGACTAGCGATAGTTGTCTCTGTGTTCTGGGTACATGCCATCTCTTGACCTTGCTGCCAGTTTACATGTGTATCCATGTGTTTGGGAGAGGGGAAGAGATGGTGTGCACTGGCTTGTAGTTACTTGTCCATTTAATAATCTGTGGCCTCCTGTTAAAGACCATACTTCCTCCCTTTCTGCATGACCAGAGCTAAAAACAGCCATTACTTAATAGTGCCTGCTGCTGGCGTGTTCTGTAATGCTATGCTTTTCCCCACTGGGGAAATGGCATCTCCTACCACTGAACACTTTTAGCATTAGAGGCCAGCTCCTACCCTTTCCCCGGTTTCAGCCTTTTCTCAGAATCGTAACTTTGCCATAAGACAGTGAAGGAAATTTGGACTGTCTGTGAAAGCAGGATCTGTAGAGTCAGCATAGAGCTTATGTGGTCACACAGCTGGGTTTTATAACTTTTGATAGACATTTGCCAGCACCTTTTCCAGACATTCATTCTCAATTGACTTTTTAATTAGCATCATGGCTGTGTGTATGTGGTGGTCTTTTTTTTTTTTTTAAAGAAAAGACAGAACCAGGTTTGTAGTTCACTGGTTTGTAACTTTTTACCTTTTTCAACATGTTGTCATTTCAAATTTCCTCTACTGTTTTTTGAATAACCGAGTTCTTTGGAAGATCGAATGAACATTGGAGAACAGTTGGTGTGTATATTGGGCCTGCCTTGCCTGAACTGTTCCAGACTTGGTCCTGAGCAGCTACAGTATTAACCACCCTCAGAAGAGAAACAGGGTACTGAAGTGGGGCTAAAATGAGATGATAGTCTGCACTGCTCAGTGACTTTGGCCCTGAAATGGTATCTACCTGCAGTGAGTTGAGGTGTTGAGGGCCTTTTATCCACCCCCTTCATTCCTTAGCTCTGAAAGACATATGTGCCATGCTGAAGATGTGTTTTGAGACCAGCAGTTAAGACTACTGAGGCTGGCATATTGTAATGATATTAAAAAAAAAAGTTTCATTCAAAGTTTCAAATGCGGCAACTCATTGCTTTCAGTTCCCCAGATACAAAGAGGAGGCCGTTATTTCTAGCTTATTCTTGAATCAGATTTGTCATAAAGCCACATCCCGGAAGGGCTGTCTGTAAACATCCTGACTTTAAAAAAACAAATGACACTGGGAACCCAGAACCGAATGCCTATTTCTGTAGAAAGGTCTAGCAGTGCAATGCTATTAAGCTGCTGTGTGGAAGTCCAGTTGTACTTGTGCTATATTTGCAGTTATGGCAGCCTGTTTCCATGTGAAAAACACCCAACATTGATTTCAGTGTGAGCTTTCATAAGGCGCAGCTCACTTCTTCAGATAATGTGAAAGGAAATAATTGCAGACATCCAAACCAAAAGTGGAACTTTCCAACATACTGCCTCCTGGTCAAACAGCACTTAACCTCTACTAGGAAGGTGGTTTTCTGGTATTATTGGGAGAACTGACAAAAGCAAGGTGCCAAGCAGTGCTCCCTCTAAGCTGTGCAGTCTTGTGAACGATTTGGCTCCTGCATAAATTAGTTCGCTCTGGAGCCATCCTTCCTGAGCTAAGACAAAAATGTGTGAGCTGGAGGCTAAAAAATTGTGAGCTAGCTCACACTAACTCAGCGTAGAGGGAATACTGGTGCGAAGTATTTTTAAAGGAGAGTGTTTCTGGCACTGGGGAAGATGCATTTGCTGAAATACTTCCTCCTGTAATGGATTTGTTACTTCCAAAGGAAGTCATCTTTGAGGAACCTTGAAGACTGGAGCAGATAAAATGAAATATAATATAGTAAAAACCACTCATATGGAAGAACAGGTATATTTCCCATTTATAACATGGCAAACCCAAGTGTTTAGTAATAAAGGGGGACTGTGTGTACTTCTGAACTGTTAAAGCTATATGACCCCTTAACTCAAAATCCCAACACATCCCATGACTTAAACTAGCTTCAGTGTTAAAATAAAAGTCATCCCCCAGTGTAAGAGCATGCGCACACAGCTATTCTGTACCAGTACATTCAGATTTGTGGTGACTGGGACTACTAGTTGTTACATTATTAACATGTAATCTTACATTTCCAGCTGATACAGAGAACAAAATCCTGTACAGATTGCATTCCCTCTGTTTATATCCCTTCCATAGCAACAACTAGTGTTGTAAACACTTTTATAATTTATTGTCTTGGATTTTTTGTGCATAGGCATAAATTACAATCCTTTAGATATAAAATGATGAACAACATAAGTGCAGCATTTGCAACAGGCTGGAGCGTGAGATACAATCTGGAAGTTTCCTACAGTGTAGATAATTGCTTCATAGGAGAAGGAAGTCGTGCTTTGTTCATGCTATCTATAATGGCATTTCTGGCCATTAACAGTACATTTCCTTTTTCCTTGGAGGTGCTTTGATGCTTCTATATTCTACAGTATCAAAAAGCTGAGGAATGTGGGCTGCTGCTGGGATGAAGAATTCATAGGAGTATCAATGAATATATAAGTCACAACTCTTGTTCAGGGCTCCCCAACCTTCTGAACTGGTGGGTGCCTTTGGAACTCAGACGCAGGCTGATGGCCCAATCACAAAATGGCCACCACAGGAGGTAGAACCAGCCACAGTGTCAGGGGTACAGGGGCGGCCAAACTTGCTTAATGTAACAGCCACACAGAATAAATGTCAAATGTTTGAGAGCCGCAAGACATGAACAAATACCCAGATGCTTTTATTGGAAAATATGCAGATTTGCTTTTTATTAACATTAAATTAGACTGTGTGAAAGAGCTGCAGTTTGGCCACCCCTCCTCCAGTACCTCTCTGGCAGTTCAGGCAGAAGCCCTGTTTAAATCCTCACCTAGGTGCCCCCCCCCTTTCTAAGAAGCTCAAGGCGACCAGGAAAAGTGTTGGCAGGCAGTATGGCACCCACAGGGGACACCTGTATGCTTTTGGGCTGCGCTGGAGTCAACAGAGTACCATGCTCCCCCCAAGCACGATTAAATGACTAATTGCTCCTGATTTTTAATCTCCCTTTTGTACTTTCATTCAGGAAGGTTAAAGTATGACTAAAATATACATTTCAGATATGATCAAGCAATGACTACTATTCATATAAGTGATTTAATTAGGGATCCAAAGTACAGTAGCTATACTAGATCAATTTGAAATTAATAAAAAATTGATCAGATATATGCACTCAGACATCCCTTTACTCCCCCCCCAAGCCAAACCAAGCTTTTCTGTCTTCTACAACAAACAGACTGTGTGCTAAAAAAAAAAATCAGTGCTTAACACTCCCATCTTCTGGAGAGTACAAAGAGCTAAGCTATAACTCAAATATTTTTTCCCCAGATATGATAAATAGCACTCCACGTATATATTAAAAATACCTCTCCCTCATTTAAAAGAATGCACAAACACAGGGCAAAGGCTTTGCATAAGCAAATCATACCTTTTTTTGGTGAGCTGATGCAGACTTATAGGTTACCCAGAGCTGCTCACCAGCCAGGCTACAGTCATAAGGCTGGTTCTATTAATCTTTACCCATTTCTGTCTTGAAATGAAAGTAAGGATGGGAAAGGGGTGGCAGATAGGTTTTTGCAACATAAGCTAGGAACAAGCTTTGTGCAACCTGAAAGGTAGTTTAAGAACCATCACTTGTGCATGTCCTAGTAGGTAATACCTGAATGGTCAGTACCAAGAGTTGCAATGGCCTTCCCTATGTAACTTCAGAACGGGGCCTTGGCTGTCATGCTGAATGTAGCCACCAAAGCACTCTAAACAAGGGATTTGCTGCAGGCTAAGACGTGACACAGTATTTTTACAGCCCCTGCTGAGATGCCTTCTTCAATAGAGTAAATAATATTCTGGAACAGGAAATAACTGGAACAGGAGTCCAGTCTGTTGAAAGATGGGCAGGTGGCTGATTGAGCTTTCCACCATTTCAAAAACAAAACTATGAGGGTCAAAAAACAAGAAGGAAATGCACTTAAAAATTTCCTACAAATAACACTAGTCCAGCAGAGGGAAAAGTTCACTTCCTATTGTGTGGGGCTTTCTAACTTGTGGGGTGTTTTCCAGTGTCCACTTCCACTCTTCCCTCCTACCACCACCCACAAGAGCTTTCTCTTGGATACTTCTAGGAGTGACTATATATATACATATCCCTTGCTCTATATTTACAAGGTCTAGTAATACTATAACAACAGCCTAGATCTACCTAAGCATTTCTGCTATTTACTCTGTCTGATGCAAGAGCTACATTACATTTTCTGCACCAGCTAAGCACTGCTCAAGCTATTAATACTATTTTATCTCTCTCCCTGGAGGCAAAATCATTAACCCTCACAACCCAAGAACACTGAAGTGGTCAGATATACATAACACTGTTGATTCCCCATTGCTCTGAGGCGGATGCACTGCTTTTCATAGTCAACTATTTACAATCTTAAGCCCACCCGTTTCCTCCTTGATATACAAACATAACCAACTTCTCCCCTCCCACGGCTGTGCCTTAAGCACGTTGGCAGAATCTAAAGTAGTACACAACACTGAGGAGGTGGGGCAAAATGATTTCAAAAGACAAAAACCGAGGAACTGCCTGAGCTGAAGATATCAGCAATCTGCCCATCCCTCACAATTTTTAGAAGCCTTAAAAACGAAGGCACTAATTCATGAGGTATCCATACCAGGAGGGCTGTTCCTGCTGAATACAGCTCTCCGCAACCATTTGCCAAGAGGTGAGTTACCACAGGTCTTGTGCTGAATACAGCTCTCAGCAACCATTTGCCAAGAGGTGAGTTACCACAGGTCTTGACAGCACAGCCTAGCTCAGTCTCAGACACTAAAGAGGGCTGGGCCCTGGTCAGGACGTGAATCGGAGACCATCAAGGAAGTCCAGGGTTGCTACGCAGAGGCAGGCAATGGCAAGCCACCTCTGAGCAGCACTTGCCTTGAAAAGCCATTAAACTGGCTGTGACGTGACAACCCTTTTCACCACCAAGTTATATATGTAACCCAAGTGGTAAGCTAGCTTTGCTGTGCTGTTTTACTAGGTGGCAATAAGAATATTGCCCCCACTGCTTCCACACAGAATATTTTTTTTGCCTCCTTGGTTCCATGTGTGCAGAAAGGAAGAGGCCACAGCAGCTGTGATGGCTTGAGAACCCATACAAAGTCACGGTGGAGCATGTATGGAAAGACAGGATAAAACTGCAGGGGAAAAATGGATGAAAATATGCAGGAAACTCCTACAGGTGGCAGCTCTTGCTGAACACCCTGGTGGCTCCACAGCTACCATGAAAGCAGCCAGTATTACCTGGATTTTTCGACTGGCCTGGTTTGCACCTGTAACCAAATGAGGTAGTCGGCTTCCGACTAAAGGCAAGGGGCTCCATTTTTTAACATTCCACCCCACCCCTCAAAAAGCCCCTGTAGTTTAGAAGTAGCGCAGCAGTGAGGAAAGGGTACCAGGCTGAGCCTGTTCCCTGCTGTGCAGGCAGTTTATAGGCAGAGGAGTTATCACAAACACTCAGCCTCCCCACTGCTGCAGCTCCCTGCTTTGGAACTCTGACCTCCTTCATTTGGCTGCATGTGCAGAGCAGGAAGTCCAGGTGCAGCACTGTAGAAAAAGTTTTCCCTGCCATGTAACAGGACAATAATACACCTGCCATTTTCCATGTGGTCAATGGGTACATAGACGAACACCGTCTCTACACAAAGGAAAAGCCCGAGACCTTGGTAAAACGTTGCATTTAGCTAGCACAACAGTCGCTGCATTTTCTGACAGTGGCTCTTCTTTAGCCCTTAGGAGATTAGACATAAAAGTAAACAAACGTGGGTTATATTTGCATTGCTGCACAAGCTGCACTTTAGTAGCTGGGTTGAAATATGCTACATGAGAATGGAAGGTGGCAGAGTTGTACAGAATACATTCCCTCACCCCTGAACAACAGCTATCAGCCTCAACTTATCTGGTATTAGGAAGAAATTCTCGAGCCCAAGGCTCTCTCTCCCCACCCCCCTTGACATTTCAAAAATGAAAGTCAACACCGCAGTATAACATTGAGTCTGAACAGTAGCCTGCCCTGTCAGGAATGGGAAGTTTATAATATTCAATATTGCATTTTTACTTCTTTTTCCTCCTTTGAAATCAGACTTGTCATGTCCTTCAAGACCACAGCGTCTGGTATTTAAAAGCTTCCTTTAAATAAGTGAATACTCCCTTCTGCCTATCTGCCCATTCCTACTGTACAGCCCTGTAGGCCCCTACTGCTGTCAACACCAAGCCAGCTTTTATAAATGAGGTAAAAGCCGCAATGAGCTCCATCAATCCCAGAAAGGGGGGAGAGAGAGAGCAACAGTCTAGAAGCCACCTACTGTCCTCAAGCAGGATAGATTTCATAAACTAAAGCTCCTGCACAATATAATTAGGCATACAGCGCTAGATCTACTAGGGGATCGTGATACAGGCTTTCCAAATAAAAACCTGGAAAGCAATTTTTTGCTTGTGGGGAGGGCTGTGAGGAAAGTATGAACTGCATAGGCTTTTTAAAAAGAGAAAACACACGTTAGAAAGCGGCTTATAAAAGAAACACATTGAGGAGCCCTCTTCTCTCTCTGCACACTGAGAGAATAAATTGACCACAAGGTGGCTGTTGAGTGCCCGCTCCCCACATACGAGCAACACAGCAAAAACAGTGCTGCCCAACCCCTGCGGCTCTCCTTTCTGGCACTGCCTTTGTCACTCTTGAGGCGAAGAACTTGAGGTAGCCAGTTAGCATGGGTGTGGCACTGGGAGGGGTTAAGAGACGGGCTCTCCGTGTACCCGGAAGCGATAGATGCAGGTATACTCGGGGTGGCCCCAGTTGCTAAGAACTCTCAGTTCCACCAGCTGGAAGGCTGCACTCTGATCTTCAACCTGAAGAGGGAAAGGAGTAAAAAGACTTGACTAAGAACCAGAGACGCTTTAGACCTCCATTCTTCTGTGGAGGCAGAAGGAAGAGTGGATGAGCTAGAGTGAGGGAGGAGCCTAGCACAGCCTGATTTTCTCTGAAGTCCACAGCCTACATGGCTGGAGAAGTAGCCTGCCCAGCCAGACGTAGGGAGAAATTTGTATACCAGCTTCTTCATTCCCAGCCTTAATTGTTAAAAAATGCCTCTCTAGCCGCTTTCCCCTCATCCCTCTGCAGTGAAAGGAGCTAGAGATGTAAAGGTGGAAATTCAGCAAACATGATGCATGTATTATTATGGTTGTCCATGGCCCATTTAAAACAAAACTGAAAAAGCCTTGGAGACTCTGGGGAGGAGGAGGGAGTTCTGGCTGCTGCTGGGAACTGGGGCAGGGATACCTGCCATGTGGAAGGCCTGCACTGTATCAGCAGCAATGGGGAAACCACACAAGCCTCTCCCTATGTGGGAATTACTACAAATTCCCACCATAAAGTACCTCACTGGATTGTGAGGAGAAAAATTAGAACAAAAGTGGAATCATGTATGGTACCCTCAGTTTCCCGAAGAAGGGGTGGGATTTTTTGGGGGGAAATAAAGGTTATAGATCAGGTTCCCCCCAAATCCACACTGATGTTCCAGACATGACCTTGAGAATCTGTGTTTCTGTAAGAATTTAATGAGTTCTGCCCAGTTTTACTTTATGCCAAAACTCTACAAATGTTTTCAGAGGACTGAAGACCAGGGGTGCCCTTCTGAGCGTGACATCGTTGCCATCTGCCACCTAAAATATTTTGCAGAGCTCTCCAGGGCTATTTTTGGGCAGGAACGCACAGAAACAGAGTTCCGGCTGGCTCCCAAGTTGGCCACGCCCAGCAGGAACTCCTTAGCATAATAGGCCACACCCAACAGCAGAAACTCATTAGGATTGGCTACATTAGGGGTGTGTGGCCTAACATGCAAAGGAGTTCCTGCTACAAAAAAGGCCCTGGGTTTTGACAACAAACAAGGTAAACAGAATAACAAGCAAAAGGTGGGTGTGGCTGGATAACCACACTTCTGGTAACATGTGGGTGCGGCCTAATGTGCTAATGAGCTGTGCTGTCAGGGGTGTGGCCCAATATGCTGAGTTCCTGCTGTTGGGTGTGGCCTATTATGCTAATGAGTTCCTGCTGGGCTTTTTCTACAAAAAGAGCCCTGGTCAGCTCTCATAGTTGCACAACTGAACAGCTTTCGGTATGCTCCTGCAAAAAGCATCAGAGGCTAGCATATGCAATGGTTGAAGTGATGGATTCAGACTGGGAGAGGTTTGAGTTCAAATCCCTGTTCAAAGAGCACTGGGTGACTCTGGACTAGTTGCTGTCTCAATCGAGCCTAACTTGCAAAATTGCCAGGTAGATGAAAAGGGGAGACACCAGTGCACAGTGACTGCAATCAAAGCCCACTGAAATCGGAAGGCTGACAGCCAAGCGAGACACTTGTTTTTGCAGTAGCAAAAAAATGGGGAAATACTACCCCCCGTGAAGTTTTCGTGCAAAAAACAGCTGGGAGGAGAGGTAGGAGCCCTTTCTCCCCCTGCAAGCAGTGTCCTGAGCCCAAACAGGCTCTGCTTTATTTTTTAATAGTCATTCTCTGCAGCTGCTATGGGGAACCCAGACACGGCTCTTTTAAAAAAAGGAGTTGAGTTTGGCCCTTAGAAGATGGAATGCTGAATAAGAGAATATTTACAATGCAGTCTTGTGCAGAATTACACCAGCCCCAGCCACAGGAAAATCCATAAGCAATTCCTCCCCTAGTGCTTATCCCCAAATTCTAGGGATAAAAGAGATGGTGTCTCTGACCACAATGAGGGTTACAGTTTGGGCAATAATGAGGGTCTTGCCCTGGACACTGCCAGTCAGACTGTGTTAGCTAAAGAATTGGCAGGCTGATGACGGGGAATCCTGTTCAGCTCTATTGTTCCATGATCTGATAAACTCACAGACTGGAACAAAGAAAACCTTGCTAAATGCAGAGAGAGCTTAGATGCTCTCATTATCCAGTGTGACCCAGTGAGGTTCATGTCACCATGCAAGGCTTTCGAGTCACTGAAGTTTAGCAAACTTACATTTAATTTATCATTTTTACCTGGGGGTGGAGTGGCTGGCTTTCCTGCCCCAGGCCATTTCAATGAACAGCCCTGTTGCCGTATCTTAGAAGCTAAAGCATTCCAATTGGCTAGCATGTGGTGCAGCCCATCCTCTGGGGTCTGCAGTGGCCCCCTCCAACTTTCATATCTGCTTCTTGTCCTCTTTCCTACCTGCAAAGGAAATGTCTGGATGGGGTCCTCATCCTGGTTGTACATGAACTTCCCAAGGTGAATGCCCTCTTGCTGACCTTCTTCATTTAAACCCTGTGGAAACAAAGGTTTGGGGAGAGGGAGACAAGGGCCGTGGGGAGAACAGAGCAAGGACAGGATTGGGGGGTGGGGGGGTGGGTACAAGTGTAGTTAAATGCTCCTCTTGTAGCTGCATGCTGAAACACACATACACAACAGTAAAGGGACAAGGGGTTTATAGGAGCAGAAGGGGGAAAAAGAAGGCTGACATTTATGAATACTTAACCCCCTTCCTACCCTCTCAAAGACTGAGCCAGTTAAGGAATCTCACTGGGCATTCCTACACTATAGACTTAATACTCATTCCCTCTCAACTAGGAAGCCTGGAGAACTATAGTCCTGTGAGAGGGACTGAGGCAGGGTTGCCAATCTCCAGGTAACACCTGGAGATCTCCCGCTATTACAGTTGACCTCCAGATGACCAAGATCAGTTCCCATGGAGAAAATGGCTGCTTTGGAGGGTGGACTCTGTGGCATCACATCCCTGCTGAGGTCCCTCTCCTCCCCCAGCCCTGGTCTTCCCCCCCCCCAAAAAAAATCTCCAGGTATTTCTCGAACCAGAGCTGGCAGCCCTTGACTGAGCCGTCTGACACACAGAATGTTCACCAACCTTACCAAACTACACATCCTAGGATTTGGAGGGGAAGCCATGATAGCTGAATTAGCAGAAAACAGGCACAACATTTGTGTTGTGCAGACAGACATTTATTTATTGTATGTAGCCAAAGGCCATCTCAAAAGGGGATTAAGTATATAGTGGTAGATTTGTGTTGTAGATACAGCAGCCTGTTGACCCTTGCTAATTCCTTATCTTGCAACTGTTTTCCCTCATTTATTATTTATTTCTTAGATTCATTTTTTAATACTGCCCTTCCCTGTAAACAGGGCTTAGGGTGGTATATAACAGTAAACAACCATAGTTGTAATTAAAGTTAAAATATTAAAAGTACCATAAAATCCCAGTAGTCAACTTAATTAGATGGCAGTGGGAACTTCTAACTGTGCCACTGCCTTGGGGGGGGGGGCGCGCAAGGGCCAAGAGTGCCAACCAGGTGGAGGCTGCCACTGTCCTCAACCAAACACCCAGCAGAACTGCATGAAGTCCCACAGGGCACGGATGTTACTCGGCAGAGAGTTCAACCAGGTTGGGGCCGGGGTACTAAATGCCCTGGCCAAGGACAGCCAGATGCCTCTTGGGCCGGGGACCACAAGCAAGTTTTTATCTGTGGAGCATAATGCTCTTCAAGGGTTTTATCAGGAGAGGTGGTCTCGAAGATACGTGTGTCCCAGACTGTTAAGGGCCTTAAAGGTAAGCACTAAAACCCTGAACCCGATCCAGTGCTCCACCGGTAACGAGTGCAGCTTCTGGACCAGATGGACCTCCTCCTCCAAGTGAACATGTGAAGACATTCTCCCACTGCACCTGGTTGCAACTTGCCCTGCTACATGCAGAGATTACTTACGAAGACTGTGAAGTCCTTGGGGGCGCTGGGAATGGTTCCTTTGGGCGAGAGGGATCTGGGGATGTGTTCTAGTGTCACTGCAGTGGGATGGACTTTGCTTGAAAGGCGGATGACAGCAAAGCCTTGGGAGCCTTGGAAAGCCCAGCAGTTCCCAGGGTAGACATCTGGCTGTAGTGCAGGCAGACAAAAAAGAAGAAGAAGAAGAGATTGGATTTATACCCCGCCCTTCACTTGGAGTCTCAGAGCGGCTTACAAACTCCCTTCCCCTCCCCACAACAGACACCCTGTGAGATGGGTGGGGCTGAGACAGCTCTGACACAAACTGCTCTTTTTCAAGGACAGCTGTGCCAGAGCTTGTGACTGACCCAAGGTCACATCGGCAGGTGCAAGTGGGGGAATCAAACCCGGTTCTCCCAGATTAGAGTCCGCACACTTAACCACCACACCAAAGAAGCACACCCCACAATTCTTGGGTAACAGTAACAAGTACACATATGACCCTTCTGTTCTAAAGGTACAGGGACACCAAGTGACCATTCTACCAAGAGAGAAGAGAAGAATCACCCCTTGGTAGCAGTTCACAGATTTAAAATGTCCCTTTGACCTGTGTAATGTCTCCTCAATCCATAAAATTATGTAAATTTACTTTGAAACCCACCTTAAAACAGGGAACCAATATATTAATCTCAACACACTGCAGAAGCAAATTTGCTATGCTAGGGAATGAACAGGAAAGAGAGCAATTCATCTCTTATGGTTTTCAGGATGGAATTACACATTATCATCAACACAGAAATACTACTGGAAATTGCACTGCTAAGTCAAGTGCACTCTTTCACCCTCTCATAACACGGGGGTGCTGGTGGTGATGTTGACAGCATCGTATCATTGTTACCTGCCCCAGTGACATCCACCAATGAAGAGGAATGGGGGTCCTCAAAGTGGTATTTCTAGCCTCCCAATAAATCTCTGAGACAGTTCAGCCCAAGAGATGTGATCTGTTCTGCTTGACAGTAGAGCTGGGATTTGAATTTGTAGAGAAGCCCCAGCTCCAGAATACAGAAAGCCTCACCCAGGGCTGAGAAAGCATGGCCATGTAATTTTCTGCAATTACAATGTCTTGAATCCAGATCATAAAACAAAAAAAACAATGGCATGAACCCCAAGGCATGACTGAGTTTCTCAGCGCCCACTCCCAGCTGGTGTAACATTTATGTAAAGTTTTGGTTTTTTAAAAAGTCCTCCTAGACTAGCACTCAAGCAGAACAGAAAACGTGGCCACCCTATTGTTCATATTTGATTCTGCTTGTTCATTGAGCCAGCCTCTCATGCCCTCTCTTGCTCAGCCTATGATATCTCACAAGGTTGTTGCAAGGATAAGGTGGGATAACCCCCATGCATACTGGGCCTCTTGGAAGAAAGGCTGGATTGAAAAAAATAAAGGAAGAACAGAGTAACTGAAGGCAACACAGGAAAAGAACTCTGTGTTGACCCCTACCTGCAGAATGACCCGTGGAGACTGAGAATGATACCACAAAGGGATCCCAAAGAGACTCAGCAGGGCTGTTTTGGTCTCGTAGGTTTCTGAGCACCGAGTGCTGATCACGCTGGCCCCTGTAGTTAGAAGAGACAGATGAAGCCGAACCACACCACGATGCCCTCAGGTCAAAGATTTAAAAAGGCTGACACACTAACCATTGAACAGGATTAGCAATCTCCTAAAAGAATCCCTTAATAGAGACAACCTGAGCTGCTTCCATCCCAAGGTGATTTTCTGGGACTGTCTGGCTGTTGACGCGATTCTGTGTGAAACCGCCTATTCTCCACTCACCTTTTTCTTTTTTAAATTACTTTGAGGAGCACTGGTAATGCAGTGCCGCACAGAAATACCGTACTTTTTTAAAAAAAGTTTTTTAAAACTTCTATGTATTTGCAGACGCTTCTAACAATCCCCTCCCCTCTGTCTAAAAGGAAGGCAATTCTTTTCTGTTACGCATTAGTCCTTGCCAGGACTGTCCCCCTTGCAGTCATCCACACATGAAGGGCATCTGACAAGTAACTGACTGGGTCTTCACCAAAGTCCTGCAACTGCCCTGCTTCCCTCTCAGACACAAGAAACCGCTCCTGCCAAAAGTGTTCTGCCTGGGAAATACTCTTTTGGTTTTTTACAACAGGTTTAAAATGAAACAGATTTGTTTGTGGAAGACTAGGCTATGACAGCATGACATTGTACAGAAACATGAAAAAAAAACCTGCACATGAGATGTGGGAAATACATGATCTGGAAGCAGCCCAAGGGAGACTGAATTTTGCCACTGGACTACTGTACACAAATTTGCACACTTTATTTTGGTTTTAAAAAACTGGGGAGGGGTTAGGATCTTTCTCTGAAGATGTTTCAGCTTGTGGAAGGGGGCGATGAAGCATTCAGAAACAACAGGAGATGCAGAAACGGGCTTCTCTGGATTTCATGCTTGTATTTGAAATTCCCTAAGAAGGGCTTTCCTTCATTTTCATTTTCCTCACTTATGTGTTCCTGTTGCTTTGGGGTATTTTTTCTGTTCCATGTGTTTTGCTTCCTCTAGTCATCGATTTGATATTACACCACTTTATGTCTGGCACAAAAAGCCTGCAGTTTAAATCTGCAGGGAGATATGTCAGACATAACAGAATGTAATATCAGATTGACCCCCTATAAGGAGCAAAACACATCCAGAACAGAAAACCCCCCAAAGAAACCGGAAGACACAAGAGAAGAAAATGACAATGCAGAACAGCCTGAAGTCTCAGTTATTCTTTAAGTGTTAAAAGCTTGTTTCCTTTTTTTAATTACAAAACAAAACATGATTCTCAGGCTCTCCTCCCCCAGTCCTCTGTCACAGCATGGAAATGATTCAATAGATCAACAGGCCAGTTACATTTTCCTGTGATCTGAAATCATCTTACTGTGGCAATAAATTCTTATTGAGAAAGAGCAGTATTTTACAAAACAGAGGGAATGGTTGGCAAAGTTTTGAAATATGGCTGAAATGGTTAAGACTTAACTAATTTAATACACAACAAAGTTAGAGTTCAGTGGCTACTGGACTCAAACTTTGTTTTGCTGCTTCAGACCAACACTACTACCCACCTGAATCTAATTTAATACAGTCAAAGAGTAACTGCGGTTCTAGAAAACCTTTCCAGCAGGTCTTGACATTATTTCATTGATTATATGAACTTTAGTCATAGTATACACATTTTTACAGATCACTTTCTTATCTTTGATATTGGATGCGTTTTGTTGTCCTTTGTACTTGTACTGCATTTTAAATATATTTTATATATCTAATAACGTTAAAAAATACAACTCTCTGGTCTCCATACCTGCAGATTCAAGGGCGTAGTCAACCATTCCAATGCGATCCTCACTGTAGCGTCTTAGGGCCTGCTTCACAATGCGGTCCACTTGCTGAAACAAAACAACAGGGCTGACTTACAAAGACAAGCATTACAGACCTCTAAAGCTTGATTTTCTTGAGAGGTTCTAGTCGAGAGAAAGAGATTGAGTTTCTAGACACTCTAAATGACTGTGCTATGGAGCAGATGGTCACAGAACCTACCAGGGGAGAGGCGATCCTTGATTTGGTCCTAAGTAACACTCAAGACCTGGTGAGAGATGTAAAAGTGATTGCACCGCTTGGGAACAGTGATCATAATGTTGTTGAGTTCAACATTTGTACAAATAGGGAATTGGCCAAAAAGACTCACACAACCACTTTTAACTTTAAAAGGGGTAATTTTTCTGATATGAGAGGAGATGTGGGGAGGAAACTGAAGGGAAAAGTAGAAAGGGTCAAAACCATTGGGGAAGCTTGGAAACTATTTAAAACTACGATTCTAGAAGCTCAAAAAAATATATTCCACAGGTTAGGAAAGGCACAAACAGGTATAAGAAAAAGCCTTACATGGTTAACAAACAAAGTAATGGAAGCTGTAAAAGGTAAAAAGGATTCCTTTAAGCGGTGGAAAGCTAGTCACAGTGAGGGGCTGATAAAACGGAACACAGGCTATGGCAAATAAAATGCAAGTCTGTGGTCAGGCAGGCAAAAAGGGAATATGAGGAGCATATAGCAAAAAACGTAAAAACCAACAATAAAACTTTCTTCAAATACATTAGAAACAGGAAACCAGCCAGGGAGGCAGTGGGGCCCTTGGATGACCAAGGGGTAAAAGGAGTACTGAAGGATGATAGGGAAATGGCTGAGAAGCTAAATGCATTTTTTGCCTCCGTCTTCACTGTGGAAGATGAGAGGTGCTTGCCCACTCCAGAGCCGCTGAGTTCGGGAGGGGTGTTGAAAGACCTGAGTCAGATTGAGGTGACGAGAGAGGAGGTCCTAAAACTGATAAACAACTTAAAAACTGATAAATCACCAGGCCCAGATGGCATACATCCAAGAGTTCTGAAAGAACTCAATTGTGAACTTGTGGATCTCCTGACAAAAATATGTAATCTCTCCTTAAAATCAGCCTCCATTCCTGAGGACTGGAAGGTAGCTAATGTCACTCCCATCTTTAAAAAGGGTTCCAGAGGAGATCCGGGAAATTACAGGCCAGTCAGTCTGACGTCGATACCGGGTAAATTGGTGGAAACCATTATTAAGGAAAGAATTAGTAGGCACATAGATGAACAAAACCTATTGAGGCAGACTCAACATGGGTTCTGTAAGGGAAGATCTTGTCTCACTAACCTGTTAATGTTCTTTGAGGGGGTGAACAAACATGTGGACAAGGGGGATCCAATAGATATTGTTTACCTTGACTTCCAGAAAGCTTTTGATAAAGTTCCTCATCAAAGGCTCCTAAGTAAGCTCAAAAATCATGGGATAAAAGGACAAGTCCTTTTATGGATCAAAAACTGGCTAATTAATAGAAAACAGAGAGTGAGTATAAATGGGCAGTTCTCTCAGTGGAGGGTGGTAAGCAGTGGGGTACCGCAGGGATCAGTACTTGGTCCACTGCTTTTTAACTTGTTCATTAATGATTTGGAGTTGGGAGTAAGCAGTGAAGTGGCTAAATTTGCGGATGATACGAAGTTGTTCAGGGTGGTGAAAACCAGTGAGGATTGTGAGGCACTCCAAGGGGATCTGTCAAGGATGGGCGAGTGGGCGTCAACATGGCAAATGGGGTTCAATGTGGCCAAGTGCAAGGTGATGCACATTGGAGCCAAAAATCCTAAATATAAATACACGTTGATGGGGTCTGAACTGGCAGAGACTGATCAAGAGAGAGATCTTGGAGTTGTAGTAGATAACTCACTGAAAATGTCGAGACAGTGTGTGACTGCAATAAAGAAGGCCAATGCTATGCTGGGGATTATTAGGAAGGGTATTGTAAACAGATCAGCCAATATCATAATGCCGCTATATAAATCAATGGTGCGACCTCATCTGGAATACTGTGTGCAATTCTGGTCACCACACCTTAAAAAGGATATTATAGCTTTGGAAAAAGTGCAGAAAAGGGCAACTCGAATGATAAAAGGGTTGGAACACTTTCCCTATGAGGAAAGGTTAAGGCGCTTAGGGCTCTTTAGCTTGGAGAAACAACGACTGAGGGGTGACATGATTGAGGTTTATAAGATTATGAATGGGAAAGAGCAGGTAGAGAAAGGGTTACTTTTCTCCCTTTATCACAATACAAGAACTCGTGGGCACTCCATGAAATTGCTGAGCGGTCAGGTTAGAACAGATAAAAGGAAGTACTTCTTCACCCAAAGAGTGATTAACACTTGGAATTCACTGCCACAGGAAGTGGTGGCGGCTACAAGCATGGACGGCTTCAAAAGGGAATTAGATAAGCATATGGAGCAGAGGTCCATCAGTGGCTATTAGCCACAAGGTATAGATAGGGACTCTGGGGCAAGTGATGCTCTGTCATCTTGGTGCTTGGGGGGGTCAACAGTGGGATGGCTTCTAATGTCCTGGCCCCACTGGTGGACCTCCTGATGGCACTGGTATTTCTGGCCACTGTGTGATACAGAGTGTTGGACTGGATGGGCCTTTGGCCTGATCCAACATTGGCATCTCTTACGTTCTTATGTTCTTAGGTTAGCGTTCCTTCATACAAACCACAAGGGCTTTCATAGAGATAACTGTGCAGCTGTGTTGACAAAAATCCACAGGCTCGTTGTACAATCAGCAGCACACCAATACATGGCTAGACCACTGGAGCTACACAACAGGCCAACATATGACACCAGTTACGTGGGACAATTCGATGCTACCCACTTCTCAGTGAAGAGACATCAGTTGCTCCCAGCCACACACATAATACACACAGTGTCTTAGGTCTCTTTTACATTGGCTTTGGAAGGCAAACAGATTTTTTAAAGGTTTTATATACATTAAGGATAAAATGCGAAAAACAAACAACATTTTGTTTTGCAAAACTCAGATCAAACTTCACTGTGGGAGGACCATGTTTCATCTTTAAGGTGTGTGAAAACTTTTTTTAAAAAATCTGTCTTCAGAAGCCAAAGTGGACTAAAGAAACTGTATGAAAGGGATTTGCGTTGAAGTCAATGACCTGCTGAAAGCGAGCAAGAACTGTCAACACCCTCACAACCTTATGATCGTTTGGTAACAGACACATAGCAGGGGAGATAGGTCAAGGCTTACCACGTGACAGGCCCAAATGGTATATAACCAAATGAACAGGCAGACGTGGAAAGAGGCAGTGGGATGGCTGAGGCTGCCACCTGGTGAGGCCTGTTAGTGTTCCATCCAGTTTGAGGCAGGCTCCATCATCGTGTTTTCAAAAAAACTATCACTGTACATGTGTATGCACAGGGATGGATTTTAGAAAAACAATGGCGGCCACAAAGAAAACACTGCGTATCCATTAAAAAAAAGCAAAAACATATTCATGCATGCAATAGGAGCAAAACTCAGGGCAGCAGAATGGAGGAACAGGAGTTAATCTCGAGGGTGGCAAAATATGCCCAAGGCTAGTTGTGAATGTGATATATGGATCATTTACTAAATGAAACCCAACCACAGGCTGTAGGAAAACATTCCCCATAAGCAGCACACTGAAAGCTCTTGGGCAGGCATGGGAGTGGTTCAGAGGGGAGGAGCTGTCCAGGTGCAGTTGGGCTCTGGAGGCTGGATAAACCTGGGAGCTCCAGGGCTGAGTAAACTATCAGCCATGCACTGTTGTGCTGTAGGCACAGCGTTTCAGGGCTGAGATATGATGCAGAAAGAAGGAGGCAGGGAAGATAACACCTTACACAGGGTGGGGTGACTTATACTGTCTTTAATAGAAGGCCTAAATACCACAACTACTTGGACAGGAGTGACAGCAGCAGTTAAGTGGTTAAAGATACAAGGAGGGGGAAGAGAGTAACTGAGGAGGGAGCCTTTTGCAGGCTTTACAATAGGCAAAGGGAACACAATAATCTCTTCTTTTTCCCTTGATCTGGGGAATGCCTGATGTAACTTCTCCATGGGAGAGAGTTATCATCCCAGCTTCCTAGAGATGAGACAAGGCAGGGAGCCGCTTCCACGACATTCATCATAGTTCAAGGCAAGAAACCAGCCACACATGACACAAATCAGTTCCATTGGAGCATGAGAATTCAGTCCAACAGTCCAGATATGTGGACCTAACAGCACCTCCTGTATGAACAGCATTCGCCATAAAAATCCCACAGATGCCACTCGGGACAGGTGGCATGCAGGTTCTCACCTCTGGCGTCACTCCTGTGACTCCTTCCATTTGGAGTGCTACCCCGACGTCCCGTGCAGACAATCGCTGGTCCTCAGAGACTTTGGCCAGGATCTTGAGCTCCAGTTTGCGGAGCTGTTCCTGTAGATCCTCACGCTGCAGGAATACACTGCCTTCTCCATCCTGCCTAGATTGTGCCAAGAATTGGCTAAGCCACCTGGGGAACTGGATTTCCACCTAAAACCACCAGAGAGAAGAATGGGTTGGTGAAGACATTCCTCTCCTCTCATCCCTACCTCAAACCAGGCCTCTTACGAGAGCATGTAAAGTGAATTTCAATAGAGATAAGTGCAAAGTCCTTAGGTACAAAAAATTAAAGGCACAGATATAGAATGGAAGGGACTTGGTTTGACAGCAGCACATGTGAAAAGGATCTAGGTGTTGTGGTTGATCACAAGCTAAACATGAGCCTGTAGTGCGATGTGACTGAGACGAAAGCTAATGCAATCTTCGAATGCATTAACAGAAGCATTGTGTCCAGATCACGGGAGGTGGTAGTTCCACTCTATTCTGCTATGGTCAGGCCTCACCTGGAGTACTGTGTCCAGTTTTGGGCACCACATTTTAGGAAGGATGTTGACAAGCTCAAGCGTGTCCAGAGGAGGGCAACCAGAATGGTGAGAGGGTTGGAATCCAAGTCTTACGAGGAAAGGCTGAAAGAGTTGGGTATGTTTAGCCTGGGAAAGAGAAGGCTTAGAGGGGACATGATTGCAGTCTTCAAATATTTGAAGGGCTGTCATGTAGAAGATGGAACAGATCTATTCTCTCTTGCTCCAGATAGCAAGACTAGATCTAATGGGTGGAAATTACAAGGGAGTCGTTACCAGCTAAATATCAGGAGAAACTTCCTAACTGTAAGAGTGGTTGAGCAGTGGAACAGCCTGCCTCAGGAGGTGGTGGATGCTCCTTTGCTGGACATTTTCAAGCGGAGGCTGGACAACCATCTTTTGGCTATACTCCTGCAGAGTGCAGGGGGTTGGACTAGATGACCTGTAAGGTCCCTTCCAACTCTAACATTCTATGACTCTATGACTACAGGGAATGGGATCATTACGTCAACTTCAAATTCATCAACTGTTTCTGTGGGCCATGATAGATGAGGATACCTCCACTGACCCACAGTGTTTGGGGCTATCATGTCGGCTGCATGTCAAGAGACTCAAGTCACTGCTATGGGGAAAAACTGTGGCTTTGATTTTGATACCGAAGTATTATTTTCCTGTAAATTGAGCTAAGTGTGCCATAATCTGATTCACAACATCTGTGATGATTGTAGAAAAAGCTTACTTGTTTTTATCTATTTTTGTATTTGAATAGCTTCCGTTTTTCTAAATAAATATTTTTTGTTTAATTTAAGCCTGTTTTGCCTCGGAATGAAGGAAAGAACTGCATCACATCTCTGGTGGAGACTGACTAATCTGCCTGGTTTCAAGTTTTAGCAGGGCCTCATATTTTTTGTAAAGAACATCAATTTAGAAAGGAAACTGGAGCTATCAACAGGCTCATATGTGTTGAATGCATATATCACCAGGTCTTCAGAGATGCCTATAGATAAAGGAAAATTACAGTGGTACTAGTGCAACTCCTCCCAGCCACATATAAACTGTATGGTGATCTGGAATGTGGTGGAATTCATAAGAATGATCATTCATGTTCCCACAAGGCCACTTTATGAATGTGACTTGAAAATGCCCAAAATAAGGCCACTCACGCATGGGTTGTTTGCCACTGCATGTGCGCTATCAGGAAGTGGATATTTCCCCTCACTTCCCCACAGCATGAGGGTGATTTCATGCACTTCCCAGGATTTCCCATCTTTCCCAAACCAGCTTGGCTGTGACATTTTTGGAAAGATTGCAGTAAAGTCAGGATCTTCCCAGTGCTGACCACATTAGGAACACTTTTCCTGCCCTAGTCCCCATGCTGGCCACCTCGACCCCTGTACCGTCAGGGTTGTTTTTTTTAGATTTTCCTTAAAAATCAGTACTTGATACATTATATCAATATACGATATATGTCATTATGTCATTTATTTATTTACCCAACTTATAGCCCGCCCGCCCCTGTACAACAGGGCTCAGGACGAGTTACAACATTCTAAATTTTTTTTTAAAAAAACAATTAAAACATCAAATAATTCTATAACACTATAAATACAATAAAATGGTAACTCTGACACAGCTAATAGATGGCATGAAAATCCCAGGAGGGGAAAATATCCTGAGGTCCGCCTAATGTGCAAAAAGGGGGAGAGGAAAAAAAGGGGGGGGGAGAAGGAAAGTCAAACTAAGATGGACAAACCGTTGCTGTCCTCCACTGTAGGCCTGGCAGAACAACTCTGTTTTACAGGCCCTGCGGAACTGCACCAGATCTCGCAGGGCCTGGATCTCACCCGGCAGAGCATTCCATCAGGCCAGGGCTGAAAAGGCCCTGTTTCTGGCTGAGGGCAGCCAGACATTCTTTGGGCCAGGGATCACCATAAGATTGTTATGACTGGAATGTAGTGCTCTTTGGGAGGCATACTAGGAGAGGCAGTCCTGAAGATTTACTGATTTAAAAATTAAACAAGGTTCACAGGGGGAGGGGAATGCCCACTGTGGGGACTGGGGGAAGTCTGCCACGTGGAAGCCCCATAGTGTATAGGAAATGCAGGAATCTTCCTTATGGTGTCAGAATACGACTGGTGTGACTAAATGCAAGGAGGATGAATAGTCATCTGATTCAGTTTGATGAAGGTTTATGCTACTCCAGTCCCTACAGAAGCAACGGAATAGCAGAGTGCAGATTGCTCAGATGAGCTGTCTGGCTGTACCAAACCAGGGGTAAAACCACAAGGCCACACAACAGAGGAGGAAAAAAAGTAGGAGCTGTAAACTCACATCCTCTTGTACTCTCTTGATCTGTCCTGGAACAGACTCCACTTGTTTCGCCAAGGCCTTCTGATCTGTGGCCAAGGTCGAAAATTCCTTCTTCAGGCCTGCCAGCTGTGCCTCCAGCATACCCATCTCCTTTTGGAAGTTACCCATCAGGTTTTGTTGTGTAGAGCTTGAAAAGCAAAACAGAAAGACTGACGATGCCCCTGATGTGTAACTGAAGTAGAAAACACTCGAGAATTTCTTTCCTATCACATGGTCCAAAAAGTAAACTGTACAATCAAAGTAGCATAGCTTATCTGTTACCATCACTACACAAAAACAGACCCTGATATTTTGCACAGAATGTGGAATCCTGAGAAATGAAGATTCATCTTATGATGTCTACCCATATGGTTCTTGTGGACAATTATGGGATAAGCCAATGAGTACAGCTGTTTATTTGCTCTTGCTATGAAATAAAAAAATGGCACCTTTATGAATGTTATTCAAAAGGCTCTTTTTGTAGCAGGAACTCCTTTGCATATTAGGCCACACCCCTTAATGTAGCCAATCCTCCAAGAGCTTACAGAGCTCTTCTTACAGGAGCTACTGTAAGCTCTTGGAGGATGGGCTACATTAGGGGTGTGTCGCTTAATATGCAAATGAGTACCTGCTACAAAAAGAGCCCTGCCGGGTACAAAGATCTATTGAGTATGCTGAACACAAAATTACTGGCTCCACAGAGTATGGCACATAATGGTGACAAAATACGTACTATAGACAAATCAGAGAAGGGAATGCAGTGCAGAATTTTTTTATTATTATTAAAGATTCGTGGGTTAGATCCCACAGATCCATTCTGCTAGCAGAGGTGCTTTTCTCTGGTAGAAGAAGTTTGCTTTGATGAGAGAGGCAGAGCCTCTTCTGTTTGGAAAGGCTTCTTCCACCGTACAAAAGTGCTTGCCCTACCTGCATTTTATTCTTTGTATGTTTTGTATGATTCATGTTTTATAAACAAAAAGGATACACAAGAGGTGAATAGAGTTGAGTTCAGATGCATTGCTTCATAAACCTATCCTGCAAATATATGGCTTTACTTTCAAAGACCAATGTTGACTTGAAAATAATAACCTCTGCACACTACACACATTCCCACCACTGCCATTTACAAAAGATTGGAAATGCTGGGTTACAGCTACTTGCTAATGATGCTCAGACTACCTTTGCCACTGTGAAGTCATTTGGACCATCCGAGTCTCCGTATCCTGTAGTCAGAGAAGGGAAACAGAGCAAGGTAAGATAGATATTGTACAGAAAAGCACAAAGGCAGACGTACTACCATCACTCTCAGTCTCCATGGGTCATTCTGCAGGTGGTGGCGGCTACAAGCATGGACAGCTTCAAGAGGGAATTGGATAAACTTATGGAGCAGAGGTCCATCAGTGGCTATTAGCCACAAGGTATCGATAGGAACTCTTGGTCTGGGGCAAGGGATGCTCTGTATTCTTGGTGCTTGGGGGGGGGGGCAACAGTGGGAGAGCTTCTAGTGTCCTGGCCCCACTGGTGGACCTCCTGGTGGCACCTGGTATTTTTGGCCACTGTGTGACAGAATATTGGACTGGATGGGCCTTTGGCCTGATCCAACATTGGCGTCTCTTATGTTCTTACACTTCTAAAATCAAATTATTACCTGGGAAGCCTGAGACACTTTCTCCAAGAGACTGTCAAAATCTTTCTGCACCCGGGATTGGAAAGCATCCAGCTCACTCTGCAGTGAAAAACAGACAATGAAAAGCAGCACAGAGATAACAAGTTCCCAGAAATGACTAGGGCTGTAAACATACTGGAGCTACAGCTGATTTAACTGACTAATAATGGACTAATCTGTTCCAAAGCAAACAAAACAAGCATATATTTACATATAGTGAACCTTTAACAAGTTTTGACTCATTTCTTAGGAAGACCGTACTGCAACATCAACATAATCTTTATTTTAGAATATTTATACTCCACCTGTCTAGTTAGAATAAATGCTCATGGTGCCATATAAAAGAAAACTTTAAAACAGGTCAAATAAAATACCAGTTTTAAATGAGATTAACAATCATTAGCAGAGTCTAAAAACAGAGCACTGGAGAACAGTTTAACTGAAAAAGGCCTTCAGAATGAGGAAAAAAATTAACAGATGAAGGCCTCCAGTTTCCAAATCACTTACAGTTCAGGAGATGATAACTAAGTGAGGAGCTAAAACTCTCACTAAGGAGATATAACATCAAAAGCAAGAACCATGGATATTTTATTTTACATGTTTATAACATGTATAACATGTAACATTATTCACTACGACATGGAGGACGTTGAAAATCCCAACGTTTAATGAGTCGATAACGAAGATTATGGAATGTGCTGAAATGGACAGACTGACAAACATACTAAAAGGAAAAATGGAAGAAAAATTTATGGGATCATGGAGGGTGTTTTATGACTGGTTAAAACGTAAGTACTGAGAAACTAAGACTAAATGAAGAACAATAAGAAAGATGGTTATAACAGTTGTAAAATTTTTAGGAGGAGATTTGCATGCAGAATGTCACATTTGTTTTTTTAAATAAATTAAAAAAGTTTATATATAAACTCTGTATTCTTTCCTTTCCCCTTTTCTATATATAAACTAATAAAACTTTTTTTAAAAAGCAAGTTTGTTAGGGAAGTAGATTTTGGAGTGAAATCATGAATTAACTCATGAATACAAATACAGAATACCGTACCTCAGCATGAGTAATGTTATTAGTGAGCTACAGTAGAGGTGCAATGCTGCACCATAACCACAGAGGAATTCTCCCAGTTTCCAGCAGAAACCAGATTTTTCCTGCACTGGCTGGTTGGCCCTTATGTCAATCATGAAATTACCCAGCCCCTTCTCAGAGCAGGACTATACATTGAACTGAATGATTAGCTGTTGTCTCAGTCACAAAGGTACTTCCTTCCCATTCTCAGAGCAGCTCATCATTTAAATGAAAGGGCTAAACAAACAGCTGACCAGATAGGCATGCAAAATGTTTGATGGAAAAAACCCCCAGCAACCTGTCTGAAGCACTGAGAATGGAAAAGAGGAAAAAGTAATCAGCATTTCATCTGGAGCTTCCTAAGTATGTTGCTTGAGTAGCAAAGTTACACAGCAGAACCACCCCCCAACACTCCTGTTTTTGGGTACATGTAGATGCACACCTCAGCAAAATCTAGAAGCTGTTACTGCAGCTAGTTACTGAAATATGCAAACCTCCCCACTGCACCCAAATGATGCCGCATTCTACTGGGGATGCAGTGCACTGCGCACTCACCCATGAGAGAGGCTTAAATTGATTCCTGCTTCAGTTGGATTTGCAATGTGGATATAAAACCTATGTTGGCAAGAACACCCATGTACATTGCAAATCTCCATTCCTCTGCTCCGTCTCTCACATGAAGAACAACAGATGCTAACACAAATATATACAGACCTTCAAAGGCAACTTAAGCCTTCAAAGAGGCAGCTACTGCTAACCAGTGCAATCCATCTCATTCCAATGACTCCTTCCTTAGAAGCAACCATATCAGCTCTTCCTGGCGACCCCGGATTCCCCAGTCCTAGCCATTCTCTCTCTTTTTTTTTACAGCATTATGTAAAAGGAACAGGAAATGTGGCTGCCAGAACTGAGATTCTAGTGGCAATCTGGAAGAGCGAAGAAAAGTGCAAGGCACTCGTGGGGGACTGGTGGGGAGGAGAGAAAATAGAGAGGTCCACTGGAGGGGCTGTTAGCTACAGGCAGTCAAGCGGAGGTTCTAGATACTTTTCCAAGTGAGACAAGAGAGCTTTCAAAACCGGAGATTAAGCATCCTAAACAAATTAAAACACACAGCCCCGCAGTCTATTTCTTCTAACTCTTCAGTCCCCAGGTGTCTCGATCTGCCACAGCTGCCCTACCTGGAGATGAAGCTCTGTCTCTGTGCGGAAATCTTCTCTCATGGCCATTTCTCGTCTTTTCACCACCCCATCCAGAAGCACCAAGACATCATCTTGCTGCAAAGCTGCTCCTGTCGTGGCTGTGCCTTTCTGGAGTTCCAGCACTGATGCAACATCCTCCAAAGTTTCAAAACGCTTCTCCAGGGCCTGAAGCCGAGATAAAACCCGCTGCTGGGCCTTTTCATCCAGAGGTAGTAAAAGAGGAAGAGAAAAAAAAAAAAAGGTCCATAAGGCTTCCTTAGTTCCATCCCTGACTGAATACTGCTAAGTGGCCTGTGTGGGACTGCCCTTGAAGGTTGTTCAGAAGCTACAAGGCAGGACAGTGTGGCCTGGGTTGCCTGAAAGGTACAAGTGGCAGGGAACATACACTTGTCCTGTGTCAGCTGCACTAACTTTCTGTTTGCTTCCGAACACAATTTAAGGTGCTGGGCATTACCTTCAATGCCTTTGAAAGCTTTGGCTCACTGTCTATTTGGGGGGAGGCTTTGCCCAGATTAACTACTTCACATGTTGCAATACATGGTGAAGTATCTCCCCAAGGAAGAAGATAGGAAGGGGGCAGAACAGGGCTTTTCTTCAAGTGACTAGTCAGTTGCAGTAAGCCGTCTCCAAAGAGGCCCAACACAGCCCCTCTTTCCTGTTTCTTACACGTCAGCGATAACAATTTTGTTTAAACTGACATTTCTGTATGATTGTCCACTTGCTTTACTTCTGTAGCTTTGAAAGCTTTTCCAGGCCCCTTCTCACCAGACTCTGACAAGAACAAGTTGCTACTGTTTGAGGCCCACTGGAGAAATGCAACCAAAATAGACAGGCCTCTGCCCCAAGGACCTTACAATCTAAATTTTGATAGCAAAGTAGCGTGGAAGGGAAGGGAGTGGCCACAGCAAAAAAGGTAATGCAAATAAGCAACAATATATTCCAGTGGATGCCACTCGCTAGAGCAGGTCTCTAGGGACGAAGACAGATGGAGAGTCAAAAAGTGAAGAGGGGATTTTGGTAGTTTCCATCACCTCAACCACATTTGTGCATCTTGGCCCACACTTTATTTTTTGCAGAGGTCTGCAGATATTCCTCATGGTTCCCTTTGTACCAGGAAAAAAATGCCGGCTATAGTAGCCCCCCCCCCCCCCCCCCTGCAGCAATTTGGCCATTGTGTCTATGTATATTAAAAGTGCCATCACGTCTAGAATCTTTTATTTGTGGAGTTTTTTTGATGGTGGGATAAGGTGGATGAATGACTGTAGCCATGAACACATATGTCTTGCTTTAATAACAGCAATATGAAATGCAGGCAGACTACCTGATACATAAGAAACAGGTTAGGACTAAGGGTTGACACAAGTCACAAAACAAGGTTCACAAGATGGACGACAAAAAGCTGTGGTGAGTCCCTTTAGAAGGCTGTGTCTGTCCTCACACTGGATTACAGCTCAGTAACAGCCAACATCCAGCAATGAACCATACAGACCTCCAGACATGGCACAACAGGAAACTATTAAAAGGGGAACTCCCAGTGCTGATCTGTATTTCTGGATACTTGGGAGAAATGATGGGTAAAGAGAAACGCTACTGCTAGCACCCCCCCCCCCCAAGGGCATCTCAGAGATGTTTGGCACTCACCTCATAGAGTGCTGTCAAATCTCCAGCTCCATACACCTTCTCGGTAACAGGGGGGGACAACTTTGCAGCTCCCCAAGAAAACATAGAAGGATAAAGCCCAAAAGGGTAAAAATACCAAGCACCTAACGCCAGAGGGGAAAAAAGACAGAGAAGAATCAGGTTAAAGAGAACTTGGGAATGTCCAATAGAGTCCATAGAAGTGTTACGAAGATTTTTTGTTCAGTCGCAGTCGAGTCCGACTCTTCGCGAGCCCATGGACAAGATCACGCCAGGCCCTCCTGTCTTCCGCCGTCCTCCGAAGCCCACTAAGAAGATTTACTTGTCTCTTAATACCATCATATTGCCTTTCAGAGCCACCCAGTAAAAACTACTGGTAGTAAATTTAAGATAGATAGGAAGTAATTCCTTTCCCCAGCACCTAATTGACTTGTGGAATTGACTGCAAGATACAGCGATGTCCATTAGCTGAGGGGATTTTAAAAGATTAGGCAAGTTCATGGAGGATCTGGCCAGCAAAAGTGATTAGCTGTGACTGTAAGATAGAACCTGCGTGCTCAGAGACAGCCTAACTCAATTTGCAATGAGATGTGGAAACAGCAGGGGGAAACTGACACCACCATGCCCTACATTTGGCTGGCCGCTGCATGAGAAAGAACAGACTCAACAGGCCTGAACCAGGAAGGAAACACGTATTTATTACTTTCCCCCTTCTTTCAAGGAAGGCATGGTGGCTTTGATCCTGTGCTTTACACTCCAGCCACAGACTGTGCAAAGGATGCCGAAGAAACTCACCATAACCAATAGCAGTCAGCAGCAACAGCAGGAGCAGCAGCAAGAGAAGCCTCTTCAAGACTGGATAGCTCCTGGCACCAAACGACAAGAGAAGGGAATAAGCATCCATGTGATTTCTCCCAGAGAGACTCCAGATGTTAAAGAGGCCCGGGGGTCCCCATTTGGCTCCCCTTTCTTTGTATCGCCCACTACAACACATTGTATGTTGTGACATCATTGCACTCTGCGTCTTCTTACTTCCACCCCACACCACTGGAGGGGAGGGAGCAGGGAAACACACAGCACAGGCTGGAGAGCAAGGATGGTCTCATGGAGAGGCTATGATGGGGGGGGGGAGCATAGTTCAGAACCCCACTCAGCCACGAAGTTCACTGGATCTAGTACTTCACAGGATTCTTGTGAGAACAAAACAGGGAATCTGGACTCCTCAGATGAAGGGCAGAATTAAAAGGGCAATGGACAGGTTGATGGATGTTATGTTGTGGTTACTGATACAAAGAGGGAGCAAAGAGACAAACAGCACCACTAATTCTGGATTTCTTATTATTTTCTCACCAGCTCTTGGGTCTCCTTACTATTAGGTTGCATATAGGGATAGCTAATAACAGACAGCCTGGATGAAGATCGGAGGCATAACTGGTGCAGACTGCAGGACTGTGTATGAGCTGTGAAAATCTCAGGTTTCCTATTTTTGCTTTGCGGACTAGCTTCACCTCTTGCCTCCTCCATCCATTCAGGAGCTCTTCCATACCCCGTGTTGTTCCCAACTATTGTGTTGCAAATTCTCTTCTGCACTGACCTTGTTAAGATAAAGACGTCCAGGAGCGAGGCTGCAGTTGTCAGGCGGTACCACGTGGTCCCGATCCACCAGTATAAAAGCCCAAAGAATCGGCCTGCAAAACCCCCGAGGAAACATTAAAACAGCTCTGCCCTCCCCCTTTTGTCTTCTGCCAGGGCACTAAAATGCCACCTTCCCTCCATCCCCAAATCGCTCTTTGGCTGGCATTTCTGAACAAAAGCCTTTCTCAGGATTCGTTTGTCCATTTCCTTGCAGAGAACAGAGCACAGTATAAAAGAGGCTGCCTTTGGCCCACCCAAGGCACTGGCTAAGGCCATTCGATTGCTAGCTTG